CTTCAATTCAAAGATCCACCTGCCTCTGCCTCCCAAGTGCTGGGATTAAATATGTGCACCACCACCGCCCCCTAAAACATCATAACTCTAAAGGAAACTACCTGGTTTATTATTTATAGTTAATATATAGTCAGCTACCAACAATCTAGCTGGGAAGATGCTTTCTTGGAAGAAACGAGAGAATTCAGAGGCACAATTGGAGAATTTAGGAAGTCACACACATGCCCAGCATAGGGCAGGAGCCCAGAAATGACCCATGAGGACTGTAAGCTTCAGCTCCAGCACATCTCTAGCTTGCACAAGAACCAAGAAATCATTGTTACTGACATCAAAGGGTCGATGGTGACATAGGCATTTAATCTTACACTCAGGAGGCAGAGGCAGGCAGGTGTCTGTGAGTTCGAGGCCAGCCTGGTCTACACAGTTACTCTAGGTCAGCCAAGACTGTACAGTGAGACCCTGTCTCAAAAAAAAAAAAAAAAAAAAAAAAACGAAAACAAACAGTAAACCTTGAAAGAGGAGACTTATTGGCAGAATTGCAACATCACACTGTACAAAAATCTAACTAGCAATTCAAAGGCAAAAAAACCAAAACCCTGTGAAATATCCTTGGGAAAACCTAGATATTAGACTTAATAAATAGAGACTTTAAGTAACTGCCTTAAGTGCACTCAAAGAAATAAATGAAGCCATGAGCAAAGATTAAAGGAACCAAGAGAAAAATTGTTAATGAAGAGACTATCAATAAAGAGTACATTTTTTTTGTTTTGTGTTTTGTTTTTTGTTTGTTTGTTTTTTTTTTTTTTTTCGAGACAGGGTTTCTCTGTATTGTCTTGGAGGCTGTCCTGGAACTCGCTTTGTAGACCAGGCTGGCCTTGAACTCACAGAGATCCACCTGCCTCTGCCTCCCAAGTGCTGGGATTAAAGGCGTGTGCCATTTTTTTTTAATGAACCTAGTGTAAAATCTAATACCCAAAAGTACAATGAAATGAAATGAAAATTAACTAAAGCATTTCAACAGTGGTTGATCAGGGAGGAGAAAGAATGAGGAACTTGCAGCTTCAGGTGGTAGATTGTCCACTCTGAGGAACAAGAGAAAAGTTCAAAAAGTGAGGAGAGTTTAATGGACCTGTAGAGCACCATCAGGTACACCAGCATGTATTCTGTGGACCCAAGAAAGAGAAGAGGGAGGAATAAAAATATGCATAATAAGGGTTAAAAATATCCCAAATTTGATGAAATACCTCAGTTTATAGATCCAGGCCCAACAAACTCAGTAGGATAAATTTAAAGAAATCCACACAAAGTTCCATTATAGTTAAATTGATGGAAGACAAAGAATTTGAACTTGATGAGAGAGAAGGTAATTAGCAGTTTCCACATTATGGTGGGGCATGTTGGCTTGCATTTGTAATCCCAGTAGAGGCTAGAGGATCCTGCAAGTTTGAGGTTCAACTAGGCTGCAAGGGAACACCAATATCCCAAAAGGGGTAAATTGGTTAACAGCCAAATATTCAAGAGAGTTATGGAGCTCAAAAGACCATAGTAGTAAGACATATTTAAAGTGTCAATAGCCTTGTCACCCTAGAAATCTGTTAGCAACAAAGGCACAGAATGGAGGAGAGTTTAAGACATTCCCAGATAAACAATATTTTGTGGAGGGATTGTCATGAATATACCTTTTCTCTAAGAAATGCTGAAGGGGGTTAAGATGACAGAATTCTGGTAAAAGTAATTATATGATAAGTACTGTATTTTTGGCTTATGCGTTCATGTTTTTTTTTGTTGTTGTTTTTTTTGTTTTTTTTTGGTTTTTACGAGACAGGGTTTCTCTGTATTGTTTTGGAGGCTATTGGTCCAGCCCAGCCTCGAACTCACAGAGCTCTGCCTGCCTCTGCCTCCCGAGTGCTGGGATTAAAGGCGTGTGCCACCACCGCCCAGCGTCAAACATGTTTTAAATGCTATAGCTCAGTGGTAAATCTCATAACTAGTATGCACAGGACCCTGGATTCAATCCCCTGCATCATTTTTTAAAGGAAATAAAAACTTACAAGCTAGTACCCTTTATGGTTAGAAATGCAAACTCAACAAAATAATGGCAAGCCAAACTAAGTAGTATATTCAAAGTATACTCCATGACCATACAGGATTTAAGGCAAGAATGGAAGGATAGTTTAACAAGAAACCCACCAGTATAACTTACAAATAAATACAAAGTGTGAAAGCCATGGTTAACTTAGATTATGCAAATAAACCATTTGACAAAACCCAGCTTCCCTTAGAAAATAATATTCAGAAAATTTGTAATTGATGCAGATCTCTTCAACATGGTGGCCCCACCAAAATGTACCTAACCTTTGTTAAAAAAAAAAAAAAAAGGCAAACTATTAATAGAGGGCTGGAGAGATGGCTCAGGGGTTAAGAGTTAACACTGCTCTACCAGAAGATCTGGGTTCAATTCCCAGCAACCACATGGCAGCTCACAGCTGTCTAACTCCAGTTCCAAGGGATCTGACACCTTTACACCAATATACATAAAGCAAAATAAAAACTGTTAAGATGTCTAACTTAGTTAAGAAACAATCTAAGTATTTATCATGTGCCACTGACAGTCTTAACAGCTTTGTCCTGTAGGGTTTGGGGTGTATGCCAAGTTCACCTGGTAGATAAACTGCAATTACGAGAAAAGATACTTAGTCATGCCAATAATGTAACCTCATCATAAGTCAGAGAATCTGTATATATACATGATGTTCACAAAAAACTGTAAACAGACCAACTTATTAAATAGAACGATGAATGGATGGCTGTAGGTCTGATATACACAAATGTCTGAGTCTCTTAAAAGTACAGAATGGGTAAATCCATAGAGACATAGATTGATCATTGTCAGGAACAGAGACATAGATTGATGGTTGTTGGTCACTGGAGGCAGAAAGAAATGGGAATAGATTCCTCACCCTTTTGTGGGGAAAGGGGAGAGGGATTAGTTCAGGGTTTAGCTACGTGCCTACCAGTGCTAACCTCTACTAACTCTAAGCTTAAGTGGCCCTCCTCCTTCAAGTAGCCGGGACTAGAGAAACACGTACAACTATACGTCAGTGACGCTTTTACTTTGGAGTGGTAGAAATGTTTTACAAGTAAAGCTGGCCGCATGTAGCAATACACCATTAATCCTAGCACCAAGACAGAGGTGGAGCAGACAGGCAGATCTCTGAGTTTGAGGCCAAAGAGGTCTACATAATGAGTTCCCGGCCAGCTAAGACTACAAAGTAACACCCTATCTCAAAAGAGAGGGAGAGAGGGAGGGAGGAAGAAGAGAAGAGAGAAGACTAGGTAATTGTTGGTTGCACAACCCTGAATGTGCTCAGTACCACTGCTGTGTCTTCTGTAGAATGGTTTATATGTGAATTTCACCTAAGTAAATCATTAAAGATGAAACAAGTCAGCCAGGTGGTGGTGGCACACACAGTTAATCCCAGCACTCGGGAGGCAAAGGCAGGCAGATCTCTGTGAGTTCAAGGACAGGCTCCAAAGCTACACAGAGAAAGCCTGTCTCTAAAAACCAAAATAAATGAATAAATAAATAAATAAATATGTAGGGAGAGATTCTAGGTACCTGTAGCACTGACCACGGGCACGGTCACAGGTACATGGAAGGTGTGTGTGGGGTCTCAGAGTGCGGCTGAGGCTGGATTTCTCAGAGCGCCAATCTGGTTATCGGTTTCTCTTGTGAGTGGTTTTCTGTAGTAAATTGACCATCAATATTCATACTCCGTGTACGGTTACTTTCCTCAACATAAATGAATAAAAATAGCCAAGACATTATAGGAGACAATAGAACGGGTAAGGACTCTCCAGCAGGATCAGTGGGGAGCCAGGAGAAGTGTCTAAATTCCATAAGCTGACACAGACCACACAAAAGACTGCATTCTAGAGAAGAAAACAGGAATAAGTGTGTGACAGTATAATACAGCTGGTCAGATGAGATGACTTAGTGGGTAAGGGCTCTTGCCACCACGCCTAATGACCTGAGTTTGATCCCTGAAAGCCACCAGGGGGAAGAGAGCTGACTCCAGTAAGCTGTTCTCCAACTACCACATCAAATCTGTGTGTACCTGTGCTATTTCCTTTCTTACATGACAGAAAGGGAGGGAGACCCTGGGCTTGGGTGCTTTTTGTTTTATATTTAAATATTTTATTTATATAACTGTATTATGTTTTATATTAATGTTTATCATTATATGAATATGACTATATTTTTTTAAAGAATTATTTATTATGAATACAACATCCTGCCTCCATGTATGTCTGCATACCAGAAGAGGGCACCAGATCTCACTACAGATGGTTGTGAGCCACCATGTGGTTGCTGGGAATTGAACTCAGGACCTCTGGAAGAGCAGCCAGTGCTCTTAACCTCTGAGCCATCTCTCCAGCCCGAATATGACTATATTTTAATATGATGCATTAAATATTATATACAACATATGATGTTATAAGTATATATAGTAAAGATTAATTTTTATTTTATGTTTTGTTGTATTTTTAGATAGAGCCAACAGTATTTGCTGGGTGTGAACAGAAGATGGGGCTGAGGGATGCTCAGAGTCCTGTCCTGAACCAACGGGCAAACTGAAAGTGCATCGTTGATGCATGGAGCGCTGGAGAGGGCAGGTAGGTCTTGCTGGCCGGCAGCCATGCAGCCCTGTCGCCTAGGAGCTCTCCTAGGCCCCCACACCCTCCCTGCTCCCATTGCTTCCTTAGAAGTGAGGCCAACCGTTCTGTAGACGTGTCTTCCTCTGCCAGCCACAGTCCCTCCTTTGACTCAGTATTTATTGTTTCAGATTGCAGCACTGAGAAGTTTTATCCCCAAGAGCACATTTCTGATCATTTGGAATCGCAGGCAGCAGTACAGACAGTTGTGCTGGTGATGTTTCTCAGTCTTCACAGTTTGGACAACTCTGTGATGAAACAGTAGGAAGAAACTGGAATGTCTCTGAAGGTGAGAGCCTGGTCCAGCCCCTCTACTGGGAGGGAGATGTCACACCAGTGACCATGTTCCTTAAGGGCCCCTTAGGGGAGAAAGGTCTGATTTGTAACAGTTTTGACAAAAACTTGAGTTTGAGCCCAAGTCCATTAGTGTGTCAGGGAATCTCTACCGAAGAGAGGCCTCGTCCATGCTACTCTCCAGAGAACTTCCAGCACAGTGCAGACCTAACTGGCCAGGAGGGGCTTCCTACACCTGAAAGCCCATTCATATGTACTGGGTGTGGGAAAACACTCAGAGGAAGCCTTGACCTTGTTCAGCATCAGAGAGCCGACTTTGGAGAGAAGTCTTTTATGTGTTCTGAATGTGGAAAATCCATTAGCCAGAAGTCTGGTCTTACAAACCACTGGCAACCTTACCTAAATGTGCAGCCCAGCCTGCGTGTCCAGTGCACGAAAGTCTCTCAGTTGTATGTGTGTAAGGAATGTGGGAAAGCCTTCAGCCAGAACTCAAGCCTTAAAAAGCACCAAAAGTGTCACATGATTGAAAAGTCCTATGTGTGCAGGGAATGTGGAAAGGCTTTTAGGCGGAAATCAAACCTTGTCCAGCATCAAAGAATCCATTCTGAAGAGAAACCGTATGTCTGTGACCGGTGTGGGAAAGGCTTCGGGCGGAACTCAAACCTCGTTAAACACCACAGGATCCACAGGGATGATAAGCCTTTCGAGTGCAGAGAGTGTGGTAAAGCTTTTAGCCAGAGCGCACACCTCAGGAAGCATCAGAGGATCCACTCTGAAGAGAAACCGTATGAGTGTGATGATTGTGGCAAGTCGTTCAGTCGCATCTCAAACCTCATTAAACATCACAGGGTTCATACTGGAGAGAAACCTTACCAATGCAGCGACTGTGGGAAAGCATTTAGCCAGAGTTCCAGCCTTATGCAGCATCGGAGAATTCACACTGGAGAGAAGCCTCATGTGTGCAGCGTGTGTGGGAAAGCCTTCAGTTACAGCTCTGTGCTCAGGAAGCACCAGATAACTCACACAGGAGAGAAGCCCTACAGGTGCAGTATCTGTGGGAAGGCCTTCAGCCACAGCTCCGCCCTCATCCAGCATCAAGGGGTGCACACTGGGGACAAGCCCTATGAGTGCCACGAGTGTGGAAAGACCTTCAGTCGAAGTTCCAACCTCATCCTTCACCATCGAGTCCACACCGGAGAAAAACCTTATGAATGTACTGAATGTGGGAAAACCTTCAGCCAGAGCTCAACCCTCATTCAGCACCGGAGGATTCACAATGGATTAAAACCTCATGAATGTAGCCAGTGTGGCAAAGCCTTTAACCGAAGTTCAAACCTTATCCACCACCAGAAAGTTCACACAGGAGAGAAGCCCTTCACATGTGTTGAGTGTGGTAAGGGCTTCAGCCAGAGTTCGCACCTCATTCAGCATCAAATAATCCACACTGGAGAGAGACCCTATCAGTGCAGTGAGTGTGGAAAAGCCTTCAACCAGCGCTCAGTGCTCACCCAGCACCAAAGGATTCACACTGGTGTGAGGCCCTATCACTGCGCTGCTTGTGGGAAAGCGTTCATCCAGCGGTCAAAGCTGCTTAAACACCAGTTAGTTCACACAAAGGAGTAGCCTGGAGGCTGGGCCACGGTTCCTCTCTGACTCTGCCGGCCCTTGGCTCAGCCTTCCCCTTGCTAGACTTGAAAGCAGGCTCACTGTTTTTATGCCCAGCCGCCACAGAGCCTAAAGCCCTCCTTTAAACATCCTCCAAGGCTCTCTTTTGCCATTGCTGCCGAAGCGTGTGGCTCTTATCTGCATTTTGTTGTTCTTACGGTTTGCAAACATGCTCTTGTTCATTAGAAGACAAAGATGACAAAGGTTTCATTGTTCATAGTTTATTCTTGTAATCAAAGGTGCAGAAATAGGTAATGTGACCTTTGGCTGGAATAACCTCAGTATTCTTCCACTTAGCATTTAGTCATAGGGAGTGAGGCCTGATTTAGTGTTTATTAATATTTTATTTACATAAGCCCAACATGAGGGTTTTCCAGGTCCAGTTGCCATGTTCTCTGGAGACATTACTCTGCTTCCTTTCCTGTCCCATCCTGTATCAGCTTCCTTTTTTTCTTTTCTTTTGTTTTTTCTCAACAGGGTTTCTGTGTGTGACAGTCCTGGCTGTCCTGAAACTTGCTGTGTAGACGAGGCTGGCCTCAAACTCACAGAGATCCGCCTGCCTCTGCCTCCCGAGTGCTGGGATTAAAGGCGTGCGCCACCAATGCCTGGCTTCATGGCTTTCTTCATCTTTCCCCCACACGCCCCAGGCCATGTCTTCACACATGCTCTCACCATCATTTTTGAAGTACTTTCTGTTTGGTCTTAGGCAGTCCAGATGTCAGAAATGAGCTCACACTGGACTACAGGAGGACTTCTGCTGGTTAGATAAAAGCCAACCTCCTTCAGGAACTTGTGAAACCATTTCCCATCTGCCAAAAGGAGTCATTTCCTTACCTCTGGCAGGAGGGACATACTGTTCTCAAGTGGCATGTACCTGTGGCTGCATATCAAAGCCCATGCCACCTCCAGGCTCCCTCAGTCCCAACTCAGCAAGTAGTTGTTAGACATTTCCAAGCCCACCTCTCTTATACTCCCTCCCCACCCCCACTCCACCCCCACCCCTACCCCCTGGCGTTCTCATTACTCTCTCTCCTCCCTATGCTGTGTTCCTATAGCCTGCTACCCCCCTGTCTCTACCATGTTCTCTTGCTACCCTGCTTCCCTAACACTGTCCATATCCAGACTGCTTTCTCTCTCTCTCTCTCAGTTCTGAACTCCTCCAGGTGTCCCTGAATAGTTTCTATCTTATGCACAATAAAACCCTAACCCTGATAATGGAACTGTCACGTTGGCAGGTTCTTTATTGTATCCCCTGCATACATCTGATGCTGAAACCTGCACAAACTGGACCATAGGATGGTTCTGGATATTTGGACTGCCTGAGACCCAGCACTTTCTGGGTACTCACACACACACACACACACACACACACACACACACACGAGAGACAGGAACAGGATACCAGCTCACTAACCTCATCATTTTCCCAGAGCTGTGTCTTTATGCTCTGAACAGGGAGAGAGCTCAAGTACAGCATATCTGTCCCCAGAGAGCTCCCTAGATAGTAGACACTAGGTAGACATAGGGTGTCACAGGACACACTCCAACCAGACCAAATCCAGCTTCTTTGAGTAAAAGAAACTTTATGGGAACACACCAATGCCCATTTGCTTACAAATACCTAGCAGCTTTTGCATGGCAGAATTGGGAGTTGTCATACATAACCATATGCCCCACAAAGCTAGAGTTTTCACTTTGTGACCCTTTTCAGGGAGTTAGCCTGCTTTGCCATAAGACAATGGAAGCCCTTGTTATCACCGGGAGCTCTCAAGGTGAGGCTTTGAAGAGAGGCTCAAAGTTCTTGCAGGAAGGGATTGAAATATTTTGTGACTAGAAGTCTAATCAATGTGTAGTGCATTAGCCTGAGAATGGTGAGGTTCTGTCCTAGTTAGGGTTACTCTTGCTGTGATGGCCAAAAGCAAGTTGGGAAGAAGAGGGTTGATTTGGCTCACATGTCCACATCCATCATTGAAGTGAGGCTGGAACTCAAACGGGGCAGAAAGCTGGAGGTAGGAGATGGAGAGGCCACGGAGGATGCTGCTTACTGGTTGGCTCACCATGGCTGGATCAGCGTCCTGCTTGCTTGTCTTGGTTTTTTTAGACAGGGTTTCTTTGTGTAACAGTCCTGGCTGTCTTGGAACTCACTCTGTAGACCAGGTTGGCCTGGAACTCACTGAGCTCCTCCTTGCCCCTGCCTCTCAAGTGCTGGGATTACTGGGATTAAAGGTGTGTCCTGCCACCACCTGGCCAGTAGAACCTGGAGCCACCAACCCAGAGGTGGCGGCCCCATCCACAAAGGGCTAGGCCCTCCCATATCAGTCACTAAGAAAATGCCTTTCAAGCTTATGTAACTTCCAAGTTTCTCTACTGTGAAGTTATTATTTTCCTTTTTAGCTACCATAGACAATGTTTCTCATCAATATCTACCTTGTTTGTATCTCATCATGATTCTTCTACTTCCATTACCAAAAGAGTTTTACCTTCTCCATGTATTTATCAGTGATGGGTGGTGGTGGCACACGCCTTTAATCCCAGCCCTGTGAGTTCGAGGCCAGCCTGGTCTACAAAGTGAGTTCCAGGAAAGCCTCCAAAGCTACACAGAGAAACCCTGTCTCGAAAAACCAAAAAAAAAAAAAAAAAAAAAAAGATAAACTCTATGTATTTATCAGTTTATTCAGTATGGGTTCATTAATTTCTATTTGTTTAGTGAGTCTGTAACTCTCATTATATATTGTGATACTCAGATGGTCCCAGATTTGACCAGTAGAAACTTGTTCTTCATACTAGAGTCCTGTGCACATCTTGTTGTGTTTTGGCCTTTGCTTTGCTTTCTGGCATAGCCAGCTATTCCAAGTTCATCCTGAATGCTCCTTTTTCCCAATTGTGCAGTGTGTCTTTTTCCCCTGGGCTTCCTCATCCCTGTTGCTAACAAGGTATTTTAGAAAGCAAGATCTAGCCGAGCATTGGTGGTGCACGCCTTTAATCCCAGCACTTGGGAAGCAGAGGCAGGTGGATCTCTGTGAGTTCGAGACCAGCCTGGTCTACAGAGGGAGTTTCAGGACAGGTTCCAAAACAATACAGAGAAACCCTGTCTCGGGGAAGAAAAAAAAGCAAGATCTAAGTGCTGGGTGTATACCTTGTTGGAAAGTGTCTGGGATCTCACAACAGACCACTCAGCGGAGAGCTAGGGACTAGACGAGTGTGCATAAATGCCATCTTCGAGCAGCTCTCTTACCAGGCCCAGTCCAACACCAAAGCTCACTCCACCCTTCCCTCTTTTCTGTATTTGTTCTTCTTAATATTTATTTATTTTATGTATATGAGTGACCTGTCTACTAACACACCAGAAGAGTGACTCGGAGCCTGTTACAGATGGTTGGGAGTCACCATGTGGTGGCTGAGAATTGAACTTAGAACCTCTGGAAGAGCAGTCAGTGCTCTTAATTGATGACCCCTTTCTCCAGCCCCTTTCTGTATTTGTAACTGCATTCCCATTTTAACAGAAATACAGTCTTGGTATCTTCAGTATATTGACTTAAGTTTTTGCATGTGACTTCAAAATTACTAATGTATTATCCTTGTTTAAAAAAAAAACATTGGTTGTTGAGTGTTTGTCTACAGGTCTTCCAACTGGTTTGAGAATTGTGAGAATATTTTTTCTCCTGGGGAGAAATAACACTTTCCTCTTCCTCACAAAGTCCCAATGACAGCTGGGTGGAGGCAGCACACACCTTTAATCCCAGCACTCAGGAGGCAGAGGCAGCTGGGTCTCTGAGTTCGAGTCCAACCTGATCTATAGAGTGAGTTCTAGGACAGCCAAAGCCAATATTCAGTGAAACCCTATCTCCAAAAAAACAAAAAACAAAAAAGTCCCAACGACAACAGTATGATTCCACTGAAATTCACAAAGGTTGGTGAGTTCCTGGGCTCCCTTATAGAGCATCGGTGAAGGGTTACTGGAAGGAGCATGGGTGACCCTATAGGAGTCACTGCAAAATCAACGTTCACCCATCATAGAGGGTGACATGGATAGAACCCCCTTCCAGTTACTTCTGGTAGCACTTCTGGTAAAGGTAGTGGCTGTTTTGCTCCAAGGAATGCATTCCACAGCAGTACACTGTGAAAATACTATACTTGTGTCTTGCACGGATCTTCTTCCACTTTCATAGTAGCTATGTAATTAATTTGTAACAGTTAGGTTTGTTTGTTTTCTATTGAGTTCCCTGTTTGTTGCTTCCCTTTTTCCTGTCAGGTAAGAGACCTCCACTTTTTTGTTTTGTTTACTTGTTTTTCAAGACAGGGTTTCTCTAACAGTCCTGGCTGTCCTGGAACTCACTTTGTAGACCAGGCTGGCCTCAAACTCACAGAGATCAGCCTACCCCTGCCTCCCAAGTGCTAGGATTAAAAGCACGTGCCACCACCGCCTGGGAAAACCTCCACTTTTTTTTTCTTTTTGGTTTTTCCAGACAGGGTTTCTCTGTATTGTTTTGGAGGCTATCCTGGAACTAGCTCTGTAGACCAGGCTGGCCTCGAACTCACAGAGATCCGCCTGCCTCTGCCTCCCGAGTGCTGGGATTAAAGGCGTGCGCCACCAACGCCCGGCTAGACCTCCACTTTTGAACCATAAAATTCTTCAAATGGAAAAGGAAGACATGAATAAATAGTAACAACTCTTTTGCTTGGTTATAGACCCATTATGTAGAAGCTGGAAGGTCTGAATTATTTATGGATTCAGTTTAGCACCCATGTAAGTCCAAGTGGAAAACTGGCTTGTAGTAGTTTAGATTATGCTAATTGCACAATACTGCAGGATTCCCCCTCCTCCCGCCCTGCCATCTTGAGATGCTGAATGGCCAGCACAGCTCAGCAAGAAGTAGCTGTTTTCCTCTCCTTGAGTGGGTCATCCCTGGTCAGCCACACAAAAGTCAGCACATCTGGCCAAACTCAAGGACATCATCTTAGTCCTGGAACCCTTGGCCTGCAAATATCCCTATCTGCACACTTCCTAAGACTTGTCCCTTGGTTGTGAAGAACTCTAGGGATGTCTTACTGCACAGTAGCTCAGGTACAAATGGAGACCACAGATATGTCAGACTACAAATGATGCTTCAGCATTAAGAGTCCTCATCACGCCCTCAACTCCAAACACTATTGATGGTGAACAAAGCATTCTATTTGTTTCTCTCACTGCCCTTTTTAAAATATATGTAGATATACATACATACATACATACATACATATGTCTTGCCTTTGTGTATGTGTGTGCATGTCTGGTGCCCACAGAGGCCAGAAGTGGGTGTCAGACCACTTGGGATTTGAGTTACAGACAATTGTGAGCCACCATGTGGGTGCTGGGAATCAAACCTGAGTCCTCTAGAAGAGCAGGTAGTACTCTTAACCTCTGAGCCACCTCTCCAGCGTCCCTGAGGAAGGCATTAGCCTCAGGCTATCTCTTCTGTGTGCGTCTGCATATAGATCAGCTGATAAAGAGGCCTGGGTGCTTCTCCCTCCCTTAGGAGTCAGGCCCAACCTCTGCGCAGTCTCAGACACAGTGGTGCTGATGCCACGTGCAGTAGTTAACTCTCACTGCTTTGACAAAAGGGATGGTGAACACCCTTAATCCCAGCTCTCAGAGGCAGAGGCGGGCGGATCTCTGTGAGTTTGAAGCTAGCCTGGTCTACAGAGTGAGTTCCAGGACAGGCTCCAAAACTACCAGAGAAATCCTGGCTCAAGAAAAAAGAGAGAAAAATGTAAAGAAGGTGTTTACTGTGATTTGAAGGTCAAGTACAGTCCATCATGGTGGGAAGGTGCATGGCGGAAGTTTGAGGCAGCTGGTCACATTGTTTCTGTGGTCAAGGGGAGAGTAACATACTGTTACTCAGTTCACTCTTCAATCAGTCAAGAGCTCTGACTCTTTAGGGCTCCGCCCACCTCAGTGATATAGACATGCCATTTTGTTTCCAAGGTGACTCTACAGCCCATGAAGCTGAAAAGATGAGCCATCATATCACATCTTTGTTCTTTTGAGCAGCTTTAGACCTGTGTAGAGACATGTCTAACTCTTTCCAGAGAGCTCAACTATAGCAAAAATGAATGTGTTCATATCCTCAAAAATATCTTCAGGGTCCTCACACCTTCCCTTCTGCATCAGCATTCACAGACATCAACTCTGAGTTCCCTTCAGCTTACGGTCCTGATTTAAAACTGGCTGCCCCTGGGGCTGAAGAGACAGCTCAGCAATTAAGAGTATACACTCAGGGCTGGAGAGCTGGCTCAGCCGTTAAAAGCACTGGCTGCTCTTCCAGAGGACCTGGGTTCAATTCCCAGCACCCACATGGCAGCTCACAACTGTAACTCCAGCTCCTGAGGACAATACTCATGACAAAACACGAGTGCACATAGGACTTTAAAAGTATATACTTAAACTACTCTTGCAGAGGACCAAAGTGTGACTCTCAGCACCCACTTCTGGCAGCCTACAACCACCTGTAATTACAGCCGCAGGGGATTCGATGCCCTCATCCACAGATAGTGCACTCAAGTGTGCAAACACTTTAAAATAGACTAAAGCACTTAAAAAATAAAAATTCACCAGCCTGGACTACCAAGAGAGTTCCGGGACGGCCTCCAAAGCCACAGAGAAACCCTGTCTTGAAAAACCAAAAAAAAAAAAAAAAAAAAAATAAAAATAAAAATTCAGTGGCTGCTCCAGCACACAAATTCCAACCTGGTCCACGAGGTTCTTGTTTCTTATCTCCATTTCCAGACAGGAGTCCCAACTCCAGCCCCAAACCGCCGTTCTTTTTTTTTTTTTTAAGATGTATTTATTTATTATATATACAGTGTTCCACCTGCATGTATGCTTGTACACCAGAAGAGGGCACCAGATCTCATTACAGATGGTTGTGAGCCACCATGTGGTTGCTGGGAATTGAACTCAGAACCTCTGGAAGAACGGCCAGTGCTCTTAACCTCTGAGCCAGCTCTCCAGCCCCAAACCACCGTTCTTTAAGGAACGAAAGAACACATCTGGTGGGGTGTGGTAGTGGATCTCAGTGAGTTCCAGGACAGCTAGGGCTGTTACACAGAGAAACCCTGTCTGGAAAAACCAAAACAGCAAAAATCCACATCTAATAGCCACTTAAAAATAATAATAAACCCTTCCTCAAGCGGCTTTTGTTAGGTATTCTGTCACAACAGAAGACAAGTAATACAATTAGAGAAATAAAAGTTACAACTAATAGAGGGGTGGGTTCCAGCACGCTCAGCGGGAGACGGTGTGTTGAACATACAAGAGTTCCTGGGTTGGATTTTCAGCGGTGTGTGTGCACATGGAGGCTAGAGGTCCAGTTCAGGAGCCATCCACCTTGATGTTTTGTGACTTGTTTTTTGAAAAGGCTCATCTTGTCAGACTAATTCTGGCTGGCCAGAGGCCTGGGGAATGTCTTGTCTCACCTTTGCCTGTGTTGGGACCACAAGCACAGTCACCCCCAGCCATTTTTACATGGGTGACGGCGATCAAACTCAGATCCTCAGGACTGCTGCACCTCTGTAGCACTAGAATAACTCACTTTTCGAAGACTGCTTATTCCAAGTGTGGGCAGATTACGAGCAGCAGTTGGGACAGTCGTACCACAAACCCAAGCAGCCCGCGTTGGCCTGATGGGTTCCCCGAACGAGCGCTCCTGGCTGCTAGAAGGCAAGCTCGAGCTTGGCGGAAGTGACCGAAGCCCCCCTCGAGCAGAGGGGCCGCAGGGAGGGGGCGAGGCGGGAGGCACTCGTGTTTGGAGGGACCCGGCGCCCGCTTCCGCCGCTGCCTCAGAGAGCAGGCGCGGCCCCTGCCACAGCGCGGAGGCCTAGCTAGGCCAGGAGTCCCGGGCCAGGAGAAGCCCGGGGCGAGGCGGGGACCGTGCGACCCTCAGGCGGCGCGCCCCCCAGGACCGGGGGGCGGGGCAGGGGCGGGGCCCCCTGGGATTGACGACTGCGCAGACCGCACGGGACGGCCCCTTTGTCTAGGGAGCCGAGGCAGCCGCCGCAGGGCGAAAGGTTGCGGCCGACGGTGAGTGGCGTTGTGTCGGGTGCGCGGGACCCTCTCCTCCGTCCGCACCCAAGCTCCGCGTCCTCACGTGCGCCAGCCCCTCCCCCGCTGCCGCACCCTCCGTCCCGCTCCCTCGGACCCTCCAGGCCCGCTCTTCCCCTGGACCCCTCACGGTGGCTCCCGCTAGCCTGGGTCGGGATGCACGGTTCTGATGTGCAGGTTTCCTAGTGGCTAGCTAATTCGCTTTAGCTTGGGATGTGGATGAGATTTTTGTTTGGTAAAATAACCGCGTCCCAGGCCGCCCTGCAAGTCCTGGGTCCTTAAGATCCTCCACCGTTAGCGGGGCTACCGTCAGGGCCACCATACAGGGTTTTAAGTCACTTGCGCGGTCTTAGCGGTCGCGCACAGACGCTTGCAGCATCCTCCACAGTTGAAGCTGTTTCCTGTCAAAGTGAAGGTCCCCTGTTCCACGTAACCCAGCTTCTTCTCGAATTTATTTCTCGATGCTCTCTCGTTGTTACTTTGCAGAAGCCCCTTTTAATGGGTGGCAACAACTTCTCTAACGCGGAATTTCCATGTTTCGTTTTTATTTTATGTGTATTTATGTGTTTTGTCTGCCTGTGTGGCTGTATAATACGCGCATGTCTGGTGCCATCGGAAGGTAGGAGAGGGTACCGGGTCTCCTGGAACTGGCTCTGAGCAGCCACGTAGGTGCTGGGAATCGAATATGGGTCCTCTGGAAGAACAACATGTGTTCTTAACCGCGGAGCCATCTCTCTGGTCCCCGCATTTAAATGTTAACAGAAAGTGATTCTGCTGGGAAAGGAGGATGGTTCAGTTGAACACCTGAGTCCGAATCACCAGAACTCACTTTTTAGAAACTGAATGCTGTTATCCCCAGCTTCCCGGAGGAGACAGCAGATTCCTGGAGCTCACTAACTTCGCTGCTGCCCCCGAGAAGGTGAAAGGCTCCTGATGAATGACACCCGAGGTTGTCCTCTGGCCTCCAAGTGCTTGCGGGTGTGTGGGTGCACACACAGAGGAACAATATAGACAGTAATCCCCTTGTACGTGGGAGGTGAAATATTCTCTAAGGCCAGAGGACATTGGATGTAGAGCGCACTGAGCCTTCTCCCCAGCCCACAAGAATTCTTTTAAACGTCTGCAGCGCCCTGTCAGTGAATGCACGATGACCCTGGGAGCAGTTTCCTGTGTATCTTCCTAAAATAATTGGAAGCAGCTGCTACTGCAGGTGCATGGCCGCGCTTTTTTGTTATTAACAGAAAAGAAACGCTCTGGGGCTGGAGAGATGGCTCCAGAGGTTAAGAGCACTGGCTGCTCTTCCAGAGGACCCGAGTTCAATCCCCAGCAACCACATGGTGGCGCACAACCATCTGTAATAGGATCTGATGCCCTTTTCTAGGCTGCAGGCATACATGCAGGACACTCATACATAAAATATCAATTAATAAAATTAAAAAGGAAAGCTCCACAGTGTCCTATCACCTACGAGGTAGGTGATTCTGTTTAAAGCTGTGTAGACATCATTCTGTCCTTTGCACACTGGGAATTATCTTGTGGGGGACACTTAACTAGCAAGCCACCTTGCCACCATGTGTGGAGCCAGCCCCTAGGCATTCTTGACATGAAGGTGCTTCATTTCCATTCTCAATTATTACTAGTGAGGGTAAAACCTCTTCATTTGTCTTTTAGCTGTTTGTATTCCCATTCAGATTAACCAGCAGGTGTTCTTTTTTGTTTTTTGTTTTTGTTTTTGTTTCGAGACAGGGTTTCTTTGTAGCTTTTGGAGCATATCCTGGAACTCGATCTGTAGACCAGGCTGACCTTGAGCTCACGGGGGTCCGCCTGCCTCTACCTCCCTAGTGCTGGGATTAAAGGCGTGGACCACTTCCCTGTGTGTCTTTTTATACCATTGACAGTGTCTTCTTTGATTTTGTTTTATTTGCTTTACTTTATTTTTGGCTTTTTGAGGCAGGATTTCTCTGTGTAGCAGCCCTTCTGTCCTGGACCCTGCTTTGTAGACTAGGCTGTTCTCGAACACACATAGATCCGCCTGAGTGCTGGGTTTAAAGGCGTGCGCCTCCATCAACTAGATGTTGTGTTTGTTTTATGGGCAAATAATTTCCATCGAGATTATTTTCTAAATAATCTGGTTTTGTATGGTACTCTTATTTTTTTAAAGATTTTATTTATTATTAAGTATACGGTGTTCTGCCTACATGCCAGAAGAGGGCACCAGATCTCCTTACAGATGGCTGTGAACCCACCATGTGGTTGCTGGGAATTGAACTCAGGACCTCTGGAATAGCAGCCAGTGCTCTTAACCTCTGAGCCATCTCTCCAGCCCTGACTGGTACTCTTTTTTTAAACAATGTATTTTTTTTATGTGCATTGGTGTTTTATCTGCATGTATGTTGTGTGAGGATATTGATCTCCTGGAATTGGAGATACAGACAGTTGTGAGCTGCCATAGGAATTGAACCCAGATCCTCTGGAATAGCAGCCAGTGCTCTTAACTGCTGAGCCACCTCTTCAGCCCCCTGTCTGGTATTTGTAAAACATTGCCTGGACTACCAAGCGAGTTCCAGGACAGCCTCCAAAGCCACAGAGAAACCTTGTCTCGAAAAACCAAAAAAAACAAAAAACAAAAAAACATTGATTCTCTGTGAAATTTACTTAGATAAGGGGTGAAGTTAGAATACAGCTTCACGCCGGGCGGTGGTGGCGCACGCCTTTAATCCCAGCACTCAGCACTCGGGAGGCAGAGGCAGGCGGATCTCTGTGAGTTCGAGGTTGGGCTGGACCGATAGCCACCGAAACAATACAGAGAAACCCTGTCTTGTAAAAAAAAAAGAATACAGCTTTACTTTCCCCCCAAATCATAACCATTGCTAACAGTATCCACTATAGCAAATAATTTATCTTTCGGTTTACTTGAAAATGTACCTGTATCATAAATTCTTCCCTATGTTTAGGGCTATTTGGGGAGGGTTGTTATTAGATTTATTTTATTTTGTGTGGGGGGTGTTTTGTTTGCATGCATGTGTATAGTGCTTGAGGAGGCCAGAAGAGGGCTTCGGACCCCCTAGAACTGGAGTTACAGAGGTTGTGAGTCTCCATGTGGGTGCTGGGATTTGAAGAGTAGTCATCTCCTCAGCCCCTCTTTTGGGACTTTGGGGTGGTTTTGATGTGCATAAGGTTTCTTGCCAGTTGGTTAATTCTGGTTTGGTTTGGTGTGTGGATGAGCTTTGGTTGGTAAACTCAGTCTTTGGAACAAAGCCAAGTTTGTTTAATACACTGCTGTAGCCGGTTGCTGTTCACCCTCAGCTCCCTGGGGGCTGCCACCCAGCTCCCAAGGGAATCACACATGGAGGGAACGCCCGGCCTTAGCTTGCCTTGTTTCTAGCCAGCTTTTCTTAAATTATGAAACACACACACACACACACACACACACACACACACACACACACACACACCTTTTTGCCTCTGGGGTTTTACCTTTCTCTGTTTCTGTATATCTTACTTTCATTCTTACTCCATGGGTAGCTGGCCCCTGACGTCCTCCTTTCTTGTTCTGTCTTGCCCCTTCTTTCTCTTTCCAGAGTTCTCCTATTTATCCTCTCTGCCTGTCACCCCCCCATCCTTTCTCCTGCCTCACTATTGGCCATTCAGCTCTTTGTTAGACCATCAGGTGTTTTATTTTATTTCTTTTTTTTTTTTTTTTTTTTTGGTTTTTTGAGACAGGGTTTCTCTGTATTGTTTTGGAGGCTGTCCTGGAACTCACTCTGTAGACCAGGCTGGCCTCGAACTCACAGAGATCCGCCTGCCTCTGCCTCCCAAGTGCTGGGATTAAAGGCCTGTGCCACCAACACCCGGCTCCATCAGGTGTTTTAGACAGGCAGAGAATCACAGCTTCACAGAGTTAAACAAATGCAACATAAACAAAAGCCACACATCTTTACATCATTGAACAAATGCTCCACAGCAGAAACAAATGTAACCCATCTTAAAATAATATTCCCCAACACACTGCAAAGCAGAGTGAGTGAGCGTGGCAGGAAAGGAAGTGCTTGAATGTACTGATAGATGTGGGCAGCTAGGCTGCTTAGTGATGGTCCTGTGGTTAGGATGGGTCACATTGCCTGCAGTTTCTCACTATGCAGATAAGGGCAATCTGGTGTAGAGCTGCAGGTAGTTTCATTTGACTATTGTTCCATCGTTTGGCAGAATGGAGCTGTGGCTTTCAGGTTTGGGGATGTTCTCTGGTCCAGGCTTTTACTGGAAATGTTTCTGCTCTCACACTCACACTTTCCCTCATAGTGTTGGGTTGGTTGGTTTTCACTTGAGACATGATCCCTGTGCAGCCCCAGCTGGCCCGGAACTCCTCAGATCCTCCTGCCTCAGACTCCTCAGTGCTGGGATTACAGGCCTCCACCTCCATTACAGCTTGGTGTGGTCTCTTTAAAAGTTTTAAATCTCTTGTCTTTGCCCACTTTGTGATAGTTTGTTGAAGAGTGTACCAAAATACTTATCAGTTAATCTTTTTTTCCAGTAATTTTAATCTCTCCTCCAAACTGTGCTCTGTTCTGTTTCTGTTTCTGGGCTGTTTGTTCTTCCCGTGCCTCCCCTATTTCCTGTGTTTTGTTTTGTTTGAGACACTTGTGCTATGCGGCATACATAGCAGCTTAGAACTCACTAGGCAGTCTCATGTTAGGAGTCAGCTTCCCAAGTGCTAGGATCACCGGTGTGTGCCAACACACCCGGCTCTATCTAAGCAGTCCATTCTTGCCTGGGCGACTCTTACTAATTTGGTTGGCCCTATAGCCGGCTGGTGATGCTCCTTTCCTAGTGCCTCTGAGACATCCCTGTGTTTGTTGAGTCTCCAAATGAATTTGAAAGCATTTAGTTATGAGACCTTGTACCCCTATAATCCTCCACAAACATGTTGATCGATGCTGTGAATAAAGTCTACAAATTAGCATTACTGTGAATTGTGGTGTCTGTTCTTTCATGTCTTGGACCAAGTGTCACTTGGTGTGTAGGAAAGCTATCAACTAGATAGACAGACAGACACACAGACACACAGATAGATAGATCTGTGTGATCATTGACTTAGGGAAAATTGCAAGTATTGTGTTTTTGTACTCAGGTAGGTTTTTACGCAAAAGCTGCTTCTGCCCTAGAAAGCCTTCCATGAATTTGAAAAGAAAGCAGTTTTATAAGAGTTGAATTAGGGAAGGCAAGTGGGTCTGGGTGACATTCTCCCATCTCACACCAAACTAGACTAAGGTTCCCGTCCAAGTGTATCACCATTTGCAATGTCCTTTAGAAGAACAAACTTGCAAGCTGCAGCACAACAAGATCTTTGGTAATTCCAAAACTGTTGTTGGATGTTGTGAAACATTTAAGATGTGTTACATTTGTTTATGCCGTGGATATATGTGTTTAATGATGCAAAGATGTGTTGCATTCTTTTATGATTTTTGGTTTTTTTTTTGTTTTTTCGAGACAGGGTTTCTCTGTGGCTTTGGAGGCTGTCCTGGCACTAGCTCTTGTAGACCAGGCTGGCCTCGAACTCACAGAGATCTGCCTGCCTCTGCCTCCCAAGTGCTGGGATTAAAGGCGTGCGCCACCAACGCCCGGCTATAGCTAACTCTTACATTTTAAATTAGCCCATATTTCTTATCTATGCTCTGCCACATGACCTGGTACCTTCTTCCCAGCATCCTTATTTGACTTTCCTGCCTAATCTTATCCTGTTGAGCCATTGACCAGTCAGCTTCTTTATTAAACCAATCCCAGCCACAAATGTTCAGTGTACAAAAGGGTTATTCCAGGCTGGAGAGATGGCTCAGTGGTTAAGAACACTGGCTGCTCTTCCAGAGGTCCTGAGTTCAATTCACATGGTGGTTCACAACCACCGGTAATGGAAATATCACCCCAGCAAATGAAGGGTCAGTGATGGAGGGAGGCACTCTGAGAAGGAATCACTGAGGGAGGGCAGTGCCCGGTAGACTGGCAGAGTGCCTACTGCCTGCAGCAGACAATGACCAGGCACTGACATTGGATTCTACCATGGGGAGATCGAAGGAATCCCTACCCTACCAAGGGTTGCTCTGGGGACCAGCGTAGGTGACATCGTGTGAACACAGTACTCCTCTGAAAAGAAGGGGTGAAGACCACACGGTAGGCAACTGGACGGGGTGCCTGAAGGACAACAGGCAGGTCTGGCTGCTGCTAGAAGCCTAGGGAAAGGGACGGTGCATCAGGAGGGATCAGATACAGGGGCCAGAGAGCAGGAGGCTGAGCACTATACATTCAACCATATCCACCTGGGTACAAATGCTACCACATGAGGGCAGCTTCCCACTGAACTGAATCCTGAAGTCCGTCATCTTTTATTATTTATTGCAGGGTGGGGCACACCGGCATGTAGAAGACAACTTGGGAAAGGTTGGGGTCCCAGGGGTGAACCCAAGTCGTCAACCACGTTGCTGTTCCCCCACCACCCAGGTCATGATGCTCACCTCTTTTTTTTTTCCTTTTCTTTTCTTTCTTTTTGAGACAAGGTCTCACTATGTAGCTCAACCTGGTCTTTTACTGAAGATCCTTCCACCCCACCTTTCTCAAATTGCTGGAATTACAGGCGAGAGGAGCCATGCTTATCTTCTGTTTCACTCTCAAAAAGCCAGATACCCGAAAGGATATATTGTAATCTTGCTCTGCATTTTGCCTGGTACCATCTGCTATTTGTTGCAGGCTTGGCTGTGACTCACTATTGTAGACACCCCTACAGTTCAGAAGACCGAGCCCATCTGCTACAGGAGATCTCTCAGACCCCGACTTTTCCCAGCCATTTAGTTGTGTTAAACATCTGTTTATCCTGGTGTGACACCACCAAGTGTCCCCTTCTCATTTGAGACATCTTTCAAAGCTCAGACCCTATGTTACTCCAGACTCTGTCCACCCACAATGACCACTGCTCAGACTTGGGTTGCCAATGTATAGGTTGAGCCCTTGCCTCATCAGAGCACCAGAGGGTATCTAAGACTGACTGAGCGCCTGAGCCTGGGGTTTCCCACAGAAGTGTGGGTCTCAGGCAGATGATCCACTCCCCACTTTGGAGGGGGTACTTCTTGGGAGACATGTAGGGCCCCACTGTTCTTGTGAACAAGCAAGACAAGGTGATCCAGCCAGCAACCAGAGCCTTCACTGGCTCCCCACATAGATATGATCAGCCAATCATGGGACCCCAGTGGTCTAGGGAGTGAAGGGTTGAAACTTTAAGCCCTTGGAAAACAATGGGTAGATGCTCAGAAATCCTTATTTTTTAAAACGTATTTATATTCATACGTATGTGTATGTTATTTTTTAAAGATTTGTTTATTTATTACATATACAGTTTGTCTATATGCCAGAAGAGGGCATGTATCAGATTGAATTGTAGATGGTTGTGAGCCACCATGTGGTTGCTGGGAATTGAACTCAGGACCTCTGGAAGAGCAGTCAGTGCTCTTAACCTCTGAGCCATCTCTCCAGCCCCTATGTGTATGTTCTTATGTGAGCTCCTGTGTACCACATGTAACAGCCCATAGAGGGCAGAAGAAAACATCTGATCCCCTAGAACTGGAGTTGAGCACAAACCTGGGTCCTGTGCAAAAGTAGCAAGGACTCTTGATGCTAAGCCCCTGAGCTATCTCTAGCTTTAAAAAAAATGTGGGGGGATGAATGCAAAGCCCTGATGTAGCAGGCTTTCTCTTGAGCCACCAACCAGCTCCCAAATCATGACACAGATTTAGTATTAGTTATGAATGCTCGGCCTTGCTAGTTCTTATAACTTAACCTGTTTCCCTTCATCTACATTTTGCCTTGGGGCTTTTTACTTTTCTTTCTTTCTGTATGTCTTACTCTCCTGAGGTTCTGTGGCTGGCAGGCTGGCAGGCAGCTGCCTGGTGTCTGGTCCCGGCATGTCCCTCTCTTTCTCCCTCATCCTCTTCTCCTTTACGTAGATTCCTCCTCCTCATTTTCTCTGCCCACCCGCCTAGCCTTTCTCTGCCTAGCTATTGACCAGTCAGCTCTTTATTAGACCAGTCAAGTGCTTTGGGTAAGCAAGGTGAAACAAATACAACAGATCTACATAATTAAACAAAGGCAGCAGAAACCAATGTAGCACACCTTCACATAGTTAAAGGGAGATTCCCCAACATAAACAAATGTAACACATCTTTACATAATTAAACAAAGGCAGCAGAAACCAATGTAACACACCTTCACATAGTTAAAGGGAGATTCCCCAACATAAACAAATGTAACACATCTTTACATAGTTAAAATAACATTCTACAACAATGTAGACCAGTCTAGCCTAGACCCACAAAGATATAACAGCCTCTGGCTCCTCTTATCATTTTTCAAGCAGGACTTTGCCTGACAAAACCTACTAGATTGGACCAGCCCAGGAACCATATGTTTGCTCAGGACTCTTCCATAGAGAATACCAGTGTGAGCATAGGGAGACCCAACAAAGCTGGACCACAGTGGCTTCCGCTCCCTGGATCTCTCTTCAGCATGCCTTTCACTGATTTTATATGACAAGGGACCCCAGGGATGTCAGGGTCTGTAGAACTGGACTCTCATGTGTTTGTTCTCTCTCCTTCCTCAGCCCCACAGGATCCTCAGATTCCACTTGTCCTCACAGACCCAAGAAACCAAGATGGCAGCAGCTGGACTTATGCCACTGCCAGCAGGACCTCAGGTGAGTGGTCCCAAAAGCTTATTCAGTGGCTTGGCCAAAGCTCCTGTGGGTCCTTCTGTGCCCAGTCAAAACATCACTGCATCTCCTGAACTCCGTCACTTCTTCCTGCTGATGTCATGTGACTCTAAAGGGCTACCACCAGTCTCCCATGTCACATTCGCCACCTGTCAGATGTGGAGTTACTCAAAACCCGCTCATTCCAGGTCAAGGTGACCTTCGAGGATGTGGCTGTTCTGCTGTCTCAGGAGGAGTGGGCCCGCCTGGGCCCTGCTCAGCGGGGCCTCTACAGAAATGTGATGATGGAGACCTACGGGAATGTGGTCTCACTGGGTAAGACTCCTGGAGGGCTCCGCCTGTGTGTCTTTGGGCCCAGGACTCACGTGGGGTTCCTCAGGGAGGCAGCTGCTGGGAAGAGGGGCATTCAGTGCACACTGAGATCCTGAGGCATGGTGCTTCCAAGTGTTCAGCTCCAACAGGATGGAAGTCTTGTCCTGTTTCCTGTGCCCTCGTGGAGCATGGATTATGGGAGTATCTTAGCAGACAGTGTATAATCCAGGGACGTCCCCCTCACGAGCAGGACTCCCAGGATCCAAGCCTGTTGTGATCTCCCAGCTGGAGCGAGGAGAAGATCCATGGGTCCTGGATGGGCAGGAGACTGAGCAGAGCCTGGGAAGTGACCACTCAGGTGAGTAAGGAGACCTGTTCCTGCTTTCACTGAAGACAGTCTAGTTCAGACGGGGTCACTGATGGAGGGAGCACCCATTGGTCAGGGGAGGGCTCTGTCATTTTCCTCCCGACACAGTGTCCACAGACCAGGAGGTCCTGGGCCAAGCAATAGTCCACAGAAGGAGGTGTGGGTAGAGTAGGAAGTTAGGTGGGCGGTGGACCTGGTGAGTTAGGTGTGGTGGTGGACCTGGTGAGTTAGGTGGGGTGGTGGACCTGGTGAGTTAGGTGGGGTGGTGGACCTGGTGATTTAGGTGGGGTGGTGGACCTGGTGAGTTAGGTGGGGTGGTGGACCTGGTGAGTTAGGTGGGTGGTGGACCTGGTGAGTTAGGTGGGGTGGTGGACCTGGTGAGTTAGGTGTGGCGGTGGACCTGGTGATTTAGGTGGGGTGGTGGACCTGGTGAGTTAGGTGGGGCGGTGGACCTGGTGACCAAGGAGAAAGGAGAGGATAGCTGAGCTGAAGAGAGGCAAGGGATGTTGCCGCTGCTCAGAAGGACCGTAGTTGGCTACCCAGGCATTAGTGGGCTATTTAGGCTCTGAGGGTTACTTGGTTGATTTAGAACAAGGCTCTGGGTATAGAAGGGAAATTTCTCAACCTGATACTCGGGGTGAAGGACTGAAAGTTTGTGCTCGGTTATGAAAGAGTCCACTGACCCCTGACCTGGGAAACATTGTACTAAGGCCCCATGTATGATATAAAGCAAAGTTAAAAAAACCAGAATTTGGAGATAAAAATATTTGATTTTTAACTTGAAAAAAGAGGTTGGTATTCATAAGAGACTTTAGCAATATTGTTAGATAATAAAAATCATTTGAGCCTGATGGTGGTGGTGCACGCCTTTAATCCCAGCAGAGGCAGAGGCAGAGGCAGGTAGAGTCTCTGTGAGTTCCATCCAGGACAGGCTCCAAAGCAATACAGAGAAACCCTGTCTTGAAAAACCTAAATAAATAAATAAATAAATAAATAAATAAATAAATAAATAAATAAATAAAATGCCATTTGTATGTTATCAGCAATAAACAAAGGTATAAATATTATAACATTTATAATAGCATCAGCATCAGAAAGCTACTTGGGGTGGGGGGTCTGCAGAGATGGCCTTAGTGGTTGAGAGAACTTGCTGCTTTTCCAGAAGACCCAGGTTCAGTTCCCGGCGTCCACATGGTGCCTCCCAACCATCTGTAACCCAGTTTCAGTGGCTCTCACACCCTCTCCTGGCTGCCACAAGTATAGGCGGGGACACTCATGCACATACAGTAAATAACAAGTTTTTGTTTTGTTTTGCTTTGCTTTTGGAGACAGGGTTTCTCTGTGGCTTTGGAGGCTGTCCTGGAACTCACTTGGTAGACCAGGCTGGCCTTGAACTCACAGAGATCTGCCTGCTTCTGCCCCCAAGTGCTGGGATTAAAGGCGTGCGCCACCACCGCCCGGCGAAAAAGGCATTTTTAAATACTGCCAAAGCTGTCCATGGGGGATTGACAGATTCTCCAGGATACAGAAGCACCTAGTTGCTCTGTGGCATAGGCCACAATAGAGGGTGACATGTGCACATACTCGTGGTGGGGCTGCAGAGATGGCTCAGCAGGTAAGAGCTTTGGCTGCTGTAGGGCAGTGGTGGCGCACGCCTTTAATCCCACTACTCGGGAAGCACAGGCAGGCGGATCTCTGTGAGTTCGAGGCCAGCCTGGTCTACAGAGCGAGTTCCAGGACAGCCTCCAAAGCCACAGAGAAACCCTGTCTCGAAAAACCAAAATTAAAAAAAAAAAAAAAAAAGACCCTGTATAGTGGCACTTGCTTTGTAGACCAGGCTGGTCTCGAATTCACAGAGATCTGCCTGCATCCACCTCCCGCGTGTGTGTCGCCGATGCATGGCACTCCAGTTCACTCTTAGGGAGTGAGAACACCTAGTTTTTTGCTGTACTAACAGAGAGGAATGGTAGAGGAAGCTCTGATGCTGTACTTGCCTGTGACCCTGGGTCAGAACTTACAGTACTTGTCAGAGACCCTTATATGTCCTTCCACAGAGGTGAGACTTTCGGAGTTGCAAGATGGCTCAGCAGATAAAGGTACTTGTCAATGCAAGCCTGGCAGCTTGAGTTCAGTCCCCAGAATATACATAAAGGTTGGAAGGAGAGAACTAAGTTCGAAAAGTTGTCCTCTGACCTCCGTGTGCACACATGTGTCTCCTTCTACCCCCAGCCCTGGATACATTTTAAATTTAGGTCTTTCTCTGCTGTGGGGCTTCTTTTTTGTTTTTGTTTTTGTTTTGTTTTGTTTTTTGGTTTTTCGAGACAGGGTTTCTCTGTGGCTTTGGAGGCTGTCCTGGCTGTGGGGCTTCTTATCCTAGGCTGTCCATCAAGTATGACAAGTCATTCAGGGAAGGCCACAGCCGAGACCCTGGAAAAGTGGTTAAGGCCTGAGGGTAGGGTAGCATCCTGAGCCTGAGGACTAGGTTGTGTCCTGTGGGAGGCTACAGGATGCACAGGAGTCTCTGGCCACCATCTTCTGCAGCAGGAAAGGGTAATGGACCTTTTCATCTGACACCTGAAGGGGCTAACCCCCGATGCCACGCAGAATTGGCCTCTTACCCCCTGCTAGACCATATGACAGAAGGTCTCCTCACCTCTCCACACGGCCCAGAGTAGCTATCTCCACATGAAGTCTTTTATCTGTCTGTCTGTCTGTCTTTCTCTCTTTTTTTGTTTTTGTGTTTTGAGACAGGGTTTCTCTGTATTGCTTTGGAGGCTGTCCTGGAACTCACTCTGTAGACCAGGCTGGCCTCGAACTCACAGAGATCCGCCTGCCTCTGCCTCCCGAGTGCTGGGATTAAAGGTGCGTGCCACCAACGTGGCAACCTCTTGTTTTTATTCTGGTTTGGGTTATTGTTTTTTAAAGCAGTCCTTGTCGGTAGCCTGGACTGGTGCTGAGTTCAGTCCTCTTGCCTTAACCTCTCAAGTGCTGTGATTATAGGAGTGTACCACCCACCACCCCGACTAGTGTTAACCTTTTCATTTTGTGTTTGCTGTTCCAGAATGGAAAACCAAGGAAGAAAACCAAAACACAAACTTGAACTTACAGCCCCTGATCTCAGATGAGAAACCTGAGATCCTGGGGGAAACATCGTTGAAAAAAGCTGATGAAGAACATTACAAAATGGAGCAGAACTTCAGCCCAAGTCCAAGCCCTGTTGGCCCCCATAATGCGCGGGTATCGAAACCTAGTGCACCGCTTGCTGGACACCAGGTGGCTCCTAGCGGAGAGAGGCCCTACATATGCATGGAGTGCGGCAAGTGCTTCGGTAGGAGCTCTCATCTCCTTCAGCACCAGCGGATCCACACCGGCGAGAAGCCGTACGTGTGCCGCGTGTGTGGGAAGGCCTTCAGCCAGAGCTCTGTCCTGAGCAAGCACAGGCGGATCCACACCGGCGAGAAGCCGTACGAGTGTAACGAATGTGGGAAAGCCTTTCGGGTGAGCTCAGACCTGGCCCAGCACCACAAGATCCACACGGGAGAGAAGCCCCACGAGTGCCTGGAGTGCGGGAAGGCGTTCACTCAGCTCTCACACCTCATCCAGCACCAGCGCATCCACACGGGGGAGAGGCCGTACGTGTGCCCCTTGTGCGGGAAAGCCTTCAACCACAGCACCGTCCTCCGGAGCCACCAGAGAGTGCACACCGGAGAGAAGCCCCACGGGTGCAGCGAGTGCGGGAAGACCTTCAGTGTGAAGCGAACCCTGCTGCAGCACCAGCGGGTCCACACCGGGGAGAAGCCGTACGCGTGCAGCGAGTGCGGCAAGGCCTTCAGCGACCGCTCGGTGCTCATCCAGCACCACAACGTGCACACCGGGGAGAAGCCGTACGAGTGCAGCGAGTGCGGCAAGGCCTTCAGCCACCGCTCCACCCTGATGAACCACGAGCGGATCCACACGGAGGAGAAGCCGTACGCCTGCTACGAGTGCGGGAAGGCCTTTGTGCAGCACTCGCACCTCATCCAGCACCAGAGAGTCCACACGGGGGAGAAGCCGTACGTGTGCGGCGAGTGTGGGCACGCCTTCAGCGCGCGCCGGTCTCTCATCCAGCACGAAAGAATCCACACGGGCGAGAGGCCCTTTGAGTGCACCGAGTGCGGCAAGGCCTTCAGCCTGAAAGCCACCCTGATCGTGCACCTGCGCACGCACACCGGGGAGAAGCCGTACGAGTGCAACAGCTGCGGCAAGGCCTTCAGCCAGTACTCGGTGCTCATCCAGCACCAGAGGATCCACACCGGAGAGAAACCCTACGAGTGTGCGCAGTGCGGGCGCGCCTTCAACCAGCACGGCCACCTGATCCAGCACCAGAAAGTGCACAAGAAGCCGTGATCCTCGGCCGCCGGAGGCCCAGCTTAGACCTGCACAACACGTGACCAGCCTGCCTCCCAGGTCAGCTGAGCCTGAGGACCCTTCCTTTTCCTCCCTAGCAAACATTCTTCCACAAATGCTTTTATTTCCCTCAACATATTGAAATGACATTGGAGAAGATCCTACAATTGTAGATATTGGTTTTAAAAAAAGCCATAATTCTCCCTTTATCTGACATGAATTTACTGAAGCAACTTTAAAGTTTAAACAAAGCACACACCATTAAACCTAGTAGAGGTGAGTTTGAGGCCAGCCTGGTCTACAGAGTGAGTTCCAGGACAGCCAGAGCTGTTTTACACAGAGGAAACCATCTCAAAAAAAAAGGGGAGGGGGGATGGCATTTCAAACGAAGTTTCGACTCATTCTAATACTGTAGTTGAATTTAGAATATTTGGACTGTTTTTGCTTTGGGTTTGTCTTTGGGGGGAGGGAGTATCTTGGGACAGGGTGTCTGTGTAGCCCTGGCTGTCCTGGAACTCCTTCTGTAGTGCAGGATGGCCTCCAACTCAGATCTGTCTCTGCCTCCACAATACTGGGATTAAAGGCGTGCCCTGTTGCTTACTTTTGGTGTTTTTACAAAGCACTCAAATACTACGGTAGGTGGAGAACCAATTCCCACAAGTTGTTTATGACACAAATAAAAGTGATTTTAAAATATTCTGAAATGGCAGTTCTAAGAGTTTGGAAAAGGAAAAATAGATACATTAGTGAGAATTTATGTAAACTAAAAGGAAAACCTGTTTGGGATCTGTCTTAGGGTTTCTATTGTCCTGACAAAACACCATAACCAAAGCAATTTAGAAGAAATGGTTCATTTCACTTCTGCATAGAGGTCAAAGCAGAAACTGTCACAGGTCATGGAGTGACAACATTCATTGCTTACTAGCTTGCTCCTCCTGGCTGTTTTCTTACAGCATCTCCAAAATGCTAGGCACTCTCCAGGAACGCTAACCCTGCCATACAGGGCCAAGCCTGTTTCTCTCCAGGATCCCTCCAACTACAACCGAGGCAGCACCTTCACTGGTTTCATAGTGCCAAGCCTCAGCTTGAACACACACGTCTTCAAAACTTACACACCACCTTGAAAAATCCTACACACTATAGTTGCCTGCCCCTAGACCACAGCTTCTGAATGCTAACTCTGAGCAAACCTATAGATCTCACCTCCATGATGCTGATACACATGTAAGGAAGTTAGGGCAGAAACAGGGCTTCAAGCATATGCCTCTAAGGAAGCTCAATTTTGTTCTTTTAACAGCACCCACCACCCACCTCGGGGTGGCACTGCCTACAATGGGCTGGGCTTTCCCACATCAATCAAAAAGACATGCCTATAGGCCAATCATATACAGCATTCTTTCAGTTGGGTCCCTCTTCCAAGGGACTCTATCTAGTACCAGACAGGATTTTCTGACCGTCTTGTGAAAATCCACCTCATGGGATGGCTCATTGGGTAAAGGTGCTTGCCACCAGGCTTTACAACCTGAGTGCAATCCCCAGAACCCTCAGGTGGACGGGGAGAGCAGCAGCCCTGACACCCACACTCCTCCATGGCATGCACCCAGCCCACCATGTTCACTCAAGTCCCCTCTGGAGGGTAAGTTTCTGCATCTTTCCATGGCAGGACCCCACCCCCAAAAAAACCTGAGGCTCACACACAGCTTATTAGCCAAAGGACAGACTTTATTAGCTCCTGGATTCTAGTTCTCCTTCTCCTGTACAGTTTTGGTTCCACGTAGTCGCCCAGTCCGGCGGGCAGCAATGAGACCCACTTTGCGCCCAGCAGGGGCATCTCTTCTGATGGTGGATGGTTTGCCAATGTGCTGGTGGTTACCACCTCCAAAGGGATGCTCCACAGGCTGGAGAGAGAGGATGAGGTTAGAGTGAGTTTCCTCACCCACTGCCAGGACCTCCCCAATGCAGCTCCCAGTGCACGGCTACTCACGTTCATAGCCACACCCCGCACGCGTGGCCAGCAGTTCCTCTTTGCCTTGTACTTGTGGTAGGCACGGCCAGCCTTCAGGATAGGCTTGTCAATTCTGCCCCCTCCGGCCACAACACCTGCAAAACATTAACACCCCTGAGATATGCACCACAAGGCCCTCAACCTCAGCCAACTGTGCCACCCAAGAGCCTGGGCACTTCAGCGAGCTTCACTCACAAAACCCCGCACACCCTGCAATCCTTTCCATTGATAGACCGAACACCATTCCTGCATTAAGCCGAATGCTAGCTCTGACCAAATCCGGGGGCCGCATTCAGCATCGAGTGTCTGAGACCCGGACAGGTCCTACAACCTCTGAAGAGACCTCCCCACAGATGGCAAAATCTACTGAACCGAGCAAGGCATCTTCTGGGAAGCCAGAGTTTAGCAGACCATGAAATGTTCCCAAGTCACCCAACAAGAGACTGATTCATGCCCCGTTTCACTGACTTGGATGTCCTTAGCCTCACTAAAAAAAGGACCAGACACAAGCACAGGATTGCTAAGTTAAGTCACAACACACAAAAATCCCAAGTGGCTTAATCTTTCGTTAACCTTTATGCATATGGATGCATGTACAGGCCAACATGTGTGTGCTGAGCCCAGAAGCGAGCATCAGATCCCCTGGGACTGGAGTTACAGTGGTGACCTGGGAAAGGAACCAGGGTGTTCTAGAAGAGCCTGTAACCGTTGAGCTCTCTCTACAGGCCACGCTGTAACAAACGCGCAAAGTCGACGCTGCACCATTTTACAATTCGAGATTTTACCGTGTTCAAAGAAGGTGCCCCAAAACAAAGAAATAGGGGTCTGGTTCTAGGGCCCGGCCTAGCAGCCGACACGTCACTTGGTGACCAGCTAGTCTTCAGGGCCCCACCACTCACCAACAACAGCTCTGTTGGCCGAGGAAATAACCTTCTTGGACCCAGAAGGCAGCTTCACTCTGGTCTTCTTGGTCTCCGGGTTGTGGGAGATGACTGTGGCGTAGTTCCCGGAGGCTCGGGCCAGCTTGCCCCTGTCCCCAGGCTTCTCCTCCAGACAGCACACGATAGTACCCTCAGGCATGGTGCCCACGGGCAAGACATTGCCGATATTCAGCTGGGCTGTCGGGGAAGAGGCAAAGCGGCCGCTGAAAGCAGACCCTCCCTCCCGGCTAGCCGAGCGAGCCCACGCCGCTGCCTCCATCCCGGCTAGCAGAGCGAGCCCACGCCGCTCCCTCCCTCCCTCCCCGCCTGGAAGCCCACTCACCCTTCTTGCCGCAGTACACAAACTGCCCGGTGTGGATGCCCTCCGCGGCGATGAACAGCTCCGTCCGCTTCTTAAACCGGTAGGGGTCACGGAAGACCACTTTCGCGAGGGGGGCGCCGCGGCCGGGGTCGTGGATGATATCCTATGGGATATCCAGGGAGCTGCGATCATGCAAGGCCCCCGAGGCGCCCTGCTCCCGGCCCGCCCGCCCCGGCCGAAGCCCTCGTACCTTCACGATACCCTTGATATAGCCGTGCCGCTCAGCGAAGTCCACAGCACGCAGGCGCGCGGCGCCCTTACGGTGCTTCACGTGAGCGCGGAAGACGGAGCCGGCGCCTTTCCTCTGCCCTCGGATCACACGGCCCATGGCGGCGAGTCTGGAAAGGGCTCACACTCAGCGTCCAGAAAGAGCAGGTCCCTCCCTGCCAGCTCCCAAGACCGACAGCACCGCCATCCCCCCCCGCCCCGTCCCGGGTGAGTGGGCGAAGACGCTCGGCAGGCCACCGGGTTGCTCACGGTGGCGGATGGCGGTGGATAGTTTCAGACTCGCAGCAACACCATCACAACCTACCTGCCGGCAAGCAAGGCCGAAAGAGGAAGTACACGGCCGCCAGCAGCCTTTTCTTCCGGGGCGGGGCAACAACCCCGCCCCTTCTCCGGCGCGATGCCTGTTGGGACTTGTAGTCCTACGCGGGTGCCACTTTTCTTCCTACTAGGGGCACTGAGACTTACACCTACCTATCTAGGCGCCCTAAGGAGAGGCGGACTCTGAGGAAACTAACTTAGTAGTCTTATGGAGGGCAGGTGGGCGGCCGTGGTGGCTTCCAGAGGTGGCGGGATTTGTCCAGGGCCACACGGAACTGAGCCTCAGAATACGAGATTCCAAGCTTGGCTCAGACAAGCGCTTCCATATAAGTTGAGGGGCTCCAGACGGTAGCTCCGAGGTAGACGAAGGAGATTGGATGTGCTTTCCCTAAGCAGACTTGGATTTGAGAGCCGAGCGGTGGTGCATGCCATTAATACCGGCACTCCGGAGGCAGAGGCAGGCAGGGTTCAAGGACAGCCTGCCTGTTCAAGGACTGTCCGGGCTATACACACACACACACCACACAACACAACACAACACAACACACACACACACAAACTGTCTCGATAAAACAAACAAAAGGAAGAAAAAGATTGGGATTTAGGTGGCATAAGGCTACTTGCTGAGTCCTCAAGATGTCTATCAAAGAAGCCAAAAGTCCTAGGCCTCTGCTTACAGTTAGGACAAAGACGTTAGGCAAAGACTCTGGAGAGGAAAGGGGAGGAAAGATCGAGACTGCTTGGCAAGAAAGTGACTCCCGATGTCTTTGGTGGCATAGAGACTTCAAAGAGAGGTCTTCATTTGCGTGAACCCTGTCAGTAGTCAATGCCATAAAGGTAGAGACAGAGAGGGGGGTGAGGGTCCTCGTCAGAACTGGGAGGCCCTGCATAGCAGGGGCTAAAAACGGCATACTGAGAAGGGGAGGGACAGCCCATAGTCCCCTGCGGGGCTTCATAGACCTACATGACCTGACAGTGGCTAAGCTGGGTGAAGATTGCAAGCATTGGGAGACTCAGGGTTGGTCTCATCTCTCTGCTGTTAGGTTGTCAGCCTGTGCTGAGCACGACCCTCATTTCATGCCTAGGCAGCTAATCCCTGTTTTTCAGATGTGATCTTAGAAAGCACTCGTGGTTCACTCTTGTTTGCTAATTCATCTAAATGGTGGTTCAAGCTAGAAAAGTTCGCTCGGTGTTGCCATGCCTCTTTTTTTCCTTCTGGAGAAAGAGTTTCTTTGTGTAGACTTGGCTGTCCTGGAACTCACTCTGTAGACCTGGCTGGCCTCGAACTCAGATCTGCCTGCGTCTACCTCCACCACCACCTGGCACAAAGACTTTTTTTTTTTGGTTTTTCGAGACAGGATTTCTCTGTATTGTTTTGAAGGCTGTCCTGGAACTCGCTCTGTAGACCAGGCTGGCCTCGAACTCACAGAGATCCACCTGCTTCCTGAGTGCTGGGATTAAAGGTGTGTGCCACCACTGCCCGGCAAAGACACTTTTTTTTTTAATACTTTATTCATTTATTATGTATACAATCTTCTGCCTGCATGCCAGCAGAGGGCATCAGAGCTCATTCAAGGTGGTTCTGAGCCACCATGTGGTTGCTGGGAATTGAACTCAGGACCTTTGGAAGAACAGTCAGTGCTCTTAACCGCTGAGCGGTCTCTCCAGCCCTATTTTATTTATTTATTATGAATACAACATCCTGCCTCCACGTCTGTCTGCATGCCAGCAGAGGGCACCAGATCTCATTACAGATGGTTGTGAGCCACCATGTGGTTGCTGGGAATTGAACTCAGGACCTCTGGAAGTACAGGCAGTGCTCTCTTAACCTCTGAGCTAGCTCTCCAGCCCCCCAAAGATACTCTTGATATACCCAATGCTCCGGAACTTCCTATGGAGATGCACGAGGCTAGTAGAGTCGACACTCAAAAGCTGTAATGCACTAGATGCATGAATTGTTCCCTGGCAGCCGTTGTACCCCTGATGCCTCTGCATCAGTCACCTACCTCCTACAGACACCCACATGGTCAAAGACCACCCTGTGACCAACCTCGTCATGATGGCCCACCTCCCAAACATAAGCCGTCCTCATTGCCACAAGCTGGATTCATGGGTCTTTCGTTTGTTTTAGATGATTTATTATTTCATGAGTATGAATGTTTTGCCGGAAGGCATGTGTGTGTACCACATAATATGCCTGATGTCCCGGTGTTGGATCCCCCTGCAATTGGAATTGCAGAAGGTTGTGAGCCACCATGTGGGTGCTGGGAATTGAACCGGAGTCCTCTGCAAGAGCAGTCAGTGCTCTTAACCACCGAGCCAATCTTCCAGCCCTACACTCATGTTTTACTGTTTAAAGTATGCATTTAATACTATATACACTAAACATTATAAGTACATATTTAGTATTCTAATGCCCCCCCTTTTGCCCCCCATTAAGATGTCAGCTTCGGGAGGTGGGAGTTTAAGGCAAAAGAATTTAAATGTGTGCACAGCAAAGCACAGGGCTCCAGAAACCAGCGCAGAGCGCTCAGGCCAGGCTGAGCAACCTTGCTGCTGACTGCATAGCGTCCTTTTCTGGACCCTAGGTCTCAGCATGGACCCACAGTTGGGAAGGGACAAGTCTAAGGTGTAGCACCCACATCGAGGAACATGTTTTCAATAGCTGCTTTACTTCTTTACTTTAAAACTGAACCTCGGTATGTAACCCAGGCTGACCTTACATTCACCATTCTCCAGCCCGAGCCTTCCAAGTGCTGGGACTATAAATGCCACTATGCCATAGTTCACTCTTAAAAACAAGACGAACCAGAAAGTCACAGCTGTCTTTTCCCGTAAACAAAATGCTTCCTTGCATGCAGGCCCTCAATGGAGTTGGTCTCCTGAGCAGTGGGACTGCGCGGCACGGTACCAGTTTCGGCGCCCACAGTACCAGGGTTCAGTCCTGCAGTTTGCGCTCGCACCTCTTCTCCAGTTCGGCCATCTCCTTAAGGACCAAGGCTACACTGTACCGCAGCTCCTGGAATTTGGCCATGGGAACTTCGAAGCGGTGTGCAGACCCATCGCTGAGCTTCAGCTGCATGAGAACGCTCGGCTGCAGGGAGCGGGACTGAGTACTTGTGGAGATGGCCACATCCACCCGCCAGCGGAAGTAAGACATGTGGGGCAGCCAGGACGCCTGCTGCTGGGCCACTGAGTCGAGAAGAGGGCGCTGACTCCCAAATACCAAGCTGGCCAAATCTCCAATCAGATCTTGAGGGATACCAAGCTCCTGGAGCTCATCCTGGAAGGCTTCCGGCTTCAGACTGGCGGGGGGCCGCCGGAGAGCTTGCTGGAGCAGTGTGTGTGTGCCCGCCAGCAGGACGGCCAGCCGCTCCTCTGACAGGTTGGCACTGGCGCCAAGTTGCTGCGCGGCTTCTCTGCAGTCTCTCCCATGCAGGGCCCCGACTACAAGCTTCAGCAGCTTTCTGAAGGTGCTCCTGTCCAAGTCCCTCAGGAGCTGGGCCACTGCCGCCACTTGTGGCCAGGGCTGGGCTCCCAGGAAACTGACGCGGCCGCTGTGCCCGTCAGCTGGATGGTGCAGGTACGGAGCTGCAGCTCCCAGAGCAGACATTCTTGCTTCCCCTTTCCCGATCAGTCCGAAGAGAAGGTCCTAACCACAGCTGCCTGGGGACAGGAAGGAGAGACAAGTGACTCCCTGGTCAAAAGATGACGGTCTGTGTGCGGCCCCATCCGCCGGTCACTGTCCACATGAACTACCAACTGGGACGCGCGCCGGGGAGGTGGCGCTGAGAGCGTATGGCAAAGGAGCCCCTGAGTCTGGGAGACGGGAGCCTCCCGGAGAGGAGCAGTGGACGGGGAAAAGAGCCCGGCACACAGACGCGCACGCCCAAGTCCTGCGTCGGCAGCATTAGTGAATTTGGACAACGCATCTGACACCAATCCCCTGCTCAACCCCGAATCCTACAATCACAGCTCGGGAAGACCTAATCTCGCATTACAAACATAAGCCAACCCTTCGAAGCCCTCGGCACCTGGAGGAAGCTGTCCCGCTAGGAGCCTGCGGAGACTGGCAAAAGCTGGAAGTTGGCCGGGCCTCCGGAAGGGCCCAGAGACACTTCCGGAACACTCTAGGATAGAACGACAGAAGCCCTCTATGGTTCCCCCGGGGCGCTGGCGTTGTCCTTGGACTCCGACGCTTGTTTTTTTACGGAAGAGGAAGCCGAGGTCAATGGTTTATTTAGCTTCCGGGATCGGACTCAAAGTTGCAGCTGTCCTGCGCATATGCAGAATTGCTGTAGCTGGTGCTACCGAATTGCAGATTTTAAAATGGTTAGATGAGCCAGGCGGAGACGCACGTCTTTAAAACCATCGCTCCGGCCGGGCCTGGTGGCGCACGCCTTTCATCTCAGCATTTGGGAGGCAGAGGCAGGTGGATTTCTGTGAGTTCAACGTCGGCCTGGTCTACCAAGTGATTTCCAGTACAGTCAGGACCGTGGCGCAGAGGAACCCTGTCTTGAAAAAACAAACAAACAAAAAACTGCAACAAGCCGGGCGTTGGTGGCGCACGCCTTTAATCCCAACACTCGGGAAGCAGAGGCAGGCGGATCTCTGTGAGTTCGAGACCAGCCTGGTCTACCAAGCGAGTTCCAGGACAGGCTCCAAAACAATACAGAGAAACCCTGTCTTGAAAAACAAAAACAAAAAAACAAAACAAAAACGACACTCGGGCGATACACAGACAGATCTGTATGAGTTCTAGGCCAGCCTGGTCTAGATATTGAGTTCCCAGCCAGCCAAGGCTACAAAGTGAGACCCTGTATTAAAAAACAAATAAAAAGTTCCCCAGGGAGGACCAAGGCAGGGTGTGTGTGTATGTGTGTGTGTGTGTGTGTGTGTGTGGTGGTAGTAAATTTGTGTATGGTGTATACAATATAGCTTCATAGACATTTAATTGGGGGCGGGGGCTAATTAAGTGTGCAAAAGACAGGATAGACCTCTCATCAAGGATGATGTAAATGGCTAATGACCCAAACCTGGTGATATAAGGCAGTGATCCCAAGAGGCAGGACAAGAGGGTCACAAATCCAAGGCAGCACTGTCTGGGCTCCAGAGTGAGTTCAAGACTAACCTGAATAACGATAGTGAATTGCTTTATCAAAAAAGATTGGAAGTTGGGTGTTGTGGCACATGCCTTTAATCCCAGCACTTGGGAGGCAGAGGCAGGCAGATCTCTGAGTCCCAGGCCAGTCAGGACTACAGAGAGACATTAAACACATTAAAAGAACGTGCTCACCACTCTAAAACAGACTCACAATAAGGACCTCTTTCCCACCCTTCAAATAAGCAGGCTGATCACATCAAATTCTGGGTGTGTGCTGTGCAGTAATCTCAACACCGTGCTTGTCTGTGGAACATAAAGCAGAACAGTTACTTGCCAGAGCTGTCCAGAGGCTTCTCTTCAGTTTAAGTATGTTCAGGTGAAAGGATTAGTTCAGTGGGAGAGGTTTGCTTAACAATCTCAGCCGTCTCTGCCTCCCGAGTGCTGGGGTTTGGTGTGTGCCACCACAGACTGTCATCTTCTGTTCTTTATCAGTAACCCTCCTCCAAACCCAGGGTGCTTTACAAAACACTACCCAGGGTAAGGGTGTGGCCAAATGGCAGGGGTAAGGCAAGGCCCAGGGTTCCATTCCAACTTCAAGCTCTGGGAAGAAAAATGGAAGAAAACCTAAACAGTCCCTAGAAGATACCCCTAGTGGTGTCCCATATTCTAGAATAAAATGCAAAGTCCTAACTGGGCTTACAAACGTTTGGCACACTCTCCACTCTCCCATGTCATTCTCTGCACCTCAGTCCCACCGTCAGATCTTTTGTCACCCTGTCCTGGGACGTGGGCCAGTGGTCCACGGCCTGAACCATTCCCCTCCTGCCAGGCAGACATTCAGGAGCAGAGCTGAAGGACACACATTGGGAGAGCACAGCTCTGGCTTGTGGTTCCTTCCCTTGGTCCAGACTGGCCAGCTCTCTGAACTTCCCTAGAAAGTGGAGAGCGGGGTAGGTGTTAGTGTAGGTCATTTTATTTTTGTATGCATTGGTATTTTGCCTGCATGTTTGCGTGAGAGTGTCAGATCCCATGGAGGTGGAATTGCAGGCAATTGTGAGCTGTCATATGGGTGTTGGGAATTGAACCCAGGTTCTCTGGGAAAACAGCCAGTGCTCTTAACCACTGAGCCATCTCTCCAGCTCCTGGTCATGGTATTTCTAAACCTAGCATTGGTGTTTTGTTTAGCTAATGCTGGCCATCTCCACATAAAAGCTGCATTCAGGAACCATACCTGCCTCTCAAAAGAAGGGGGTTGGGTCCTGAGTGGCTATAGTGGATGATAAATTTTATGTGGGGCCAACTGGGGGTAGGGGTAACTCAGCGGTAGAGCACTTGACTACCACACTGAAGGCCTCAGTTATTAACTCACAAGGAAAATAAGGGATAAGGTGAAGCAGAAATGAATTCTAGCCTCTTTGCTTTTGGCTGCATTTTAAATGAGCTACAAGAAACCCTGTCTCGTAAAAACCAAAAATAAAAAAAATAAAAAATAAAAAATAAATGGGCTACAAGATTTTCTTACTGGTGAAGCCACATGAAGTAACTTATCCAGAGGGAAAACATTTTGGTTGACTTTATTTAAATACATGGTATAGATGACTTTTTGCATCTGCCTGAGTGGTGGGATTGCAAGTATGTACCATCAGACCTGGATTTGGTGGCTTCACTTATGCTGTTGCTTAGCAGGGCTTCCACGGCCTTCCTGATACCTAATTCTCATCTGTAGGACAGAGATCCACTCCGAGTTCAAAACACAGGCTACGCTTTGAGTGTGACACAAACTTTATTCAGTGCGTAAATGCCAAACATTACAGAAACAAAACATTTTTAAAGTAGAATATTCTTTTTTTTTTTTTTTTTGGTTTTTCGAGACAGGGTTTCTCTGTATTGTTTTGGAGGCTATCGGTCCAGCCCGGCCTCGAACTCACAGAGATCCGCCTGCCTCTGCCTCTCGAGTGCTGGGATTAAAGGCGTGCGCCACCAACGCCCGGCTTAAAGTAGAATATTCTTAACAACAAATCTGAATCTCCCCCAGCACTCTCAAGTCTCTGTTAGCATAAATCATCCAAATAAAATAAGGCTTCAGGTTATCGTTACATATTTATATAGCATGGTGGTTTGAACGAAACTGCCCCGCACCATAGGCTCATCTGTACGAATACTTGGTCCTCAGTTGGAGGAACTGTTTGGGAATTATTAGGAGGTGTGGTCTTGGGGGTGTGTCACTGGGGGTGAGCTTTGAGGTTTCTAAAGACTGCATTTCCAGTTAGTCCTCTCTGCTTAGCAACTGTCTCAAGATGTGAGCTCTCAGCTACTGCTCTAGCGCCGTGCCTACCTGCTTGCCCACTGCCATGCCCCGCACAATGATGGCCATGAATGCTCTGGAACCGTAAGCCCCAAATAAGCCCTTTCTAAAGTTACCTTGGAGCCTGGTGATGGTGGTGCACACCTTTAATCCCAGCACTCGCACTCACTCGGGAGGCAGAGGCAGGTGGATCTCTGTGAGTTCGAGGCCAGCCTGGTCTACAGAGTGAGTTCCAGGACAGCCTCCAAAGCCACAGAGAAACCCTGTCTCGAAAAAACAAGGAAGTTATCTTGGCCATGATGTCATCACAGCAATAGAGAATTAACCAAGGTAAACTTTAGGTAAACGCTTTATCCCATGTGAATTTTTTGGTGCTGAGTGAGCCTTGAGCTCCGATTAAAAGCTTTGCCACAAGCATTACATTTGTAAGGCTTCTCTCCTGTGTGAATCCTCTGGTGTATCATTAGGTGTGAACGCCACCTGAATATTTTATCACAGTCATCACACTGGTACAGTTTTTTTGCAGTGTTCACTTTTTTAGAGTTCAAAAAGGAGCTACTTTCAACAGTGTTTCCAAATTCCTTGTAGCACTGGGCTCGAGTGTGGATTCTCTGGTGTTCGATAAGGTATGAGCTCCGGCTAAAGGCCTTTCCACACTCACTACACTCGTAGGGCTTCACTCCAGCATGAATTATCTGGTGCTGGAAAAGCGTGGAATTTTGACTGAAGGCTTTCCCACACTCGCTACACTTGTAGGGCCTCTCCCCAGTGTGAACCCTCTGGTGCACGGTGAGCTGCGTGCTCATACTGAAGGCCTTCCCACACTGGGAGCATGCGTATGGCTTCTCTCCCTTATGAATCCTCTGGTGGTAGATAAGACTGGAGCTCTGGCTGAAGGCTTTCCCACAGTCATCACACACATAAGGCTTCTCTCCTGTGTGGATTCGCTGATGCTGAATGAGATGCGAGCCCTGGACAAAGCCCTTCCCACACTCCTCACACTTAAATGGCTTTTCTCCCGTGTGTGTTCTCTGATGGCGAATGAGCCTCGAGCTACAACCAAAGGCTTTTGTGCACTTGTTGCACTTAAAAGGTTTCTCTCCGGTGTGAGTCAGCCTGTGCTGACTCAGGCGAGAGATCCACCTGAAGGCTTTCCCACAGTCCTCACACTTAAACGGCTTCTCTGCAGGGCTGTTTTTCTCACGCGCAGTAAGGCTTGGGCTCTCTGAAGCTCTTGGCATTTGAGATTTCTCCCTAGTATGCATCCTCTGGTGCTGGGCTAGAGTCGAGCTCTGGCTGAAGGCCTTGCCACACTTATGGCAGGGGTAGGGCCTCTCGCCAGTGTGGATCCTCTGATGTCTGGCCAGCTGTGACTGCTGGCTGAAGGCTTTTCCACACTCTTGACAACTATAGGGCCTTTCTCCTGTGTGGATTCTCTGATGATGGATAAGGCTTGAGCTGTGACCAAAGGTTTTCCCACATTCTTCACATCTGTAAGGCCTGTCTCCAGTATGAATTCTTTGGTGCTGGATCAGTTTGGTGCTCAAACGGAAAGCTTTCCCACAATCAACACACTTAAATGGTTTCTCTCCAGTGTGGATTCTCTGATGCTGCTTGAGTTGTGAACGCAGCCTGAAGACTTTCCCACATTCTTCACATTCATAAGGTTTCTGCCCACGGCAGCTACTGGTGTATTTCTCCTTTAAGCAGTCAGATGATTTTTTGGGGCACTCTTGACATCTGTATGGCATTCCCTGCACATTCACTTCCAGATATGGATCCAGGCGCAAAGTTGGCGTAAAGACTCTACCACACATTTCACAGTCTTCTGATGCCCCTGTCACACCGTCTCTCCGTTCACCAGGTGGATAACCCAGAGCAGTGGCCTGTAGCTCCTTACCGTGCCGGACAGTGTCCTTGGGAGCCATCGTCTCATTATTCAAATGATGTTTCTGGAAAAGTGAGCCACTCACTCTTAGCCCAAGGCTACTTGAACAATTCTCTGACCAGACCTTAGAATCCAAATTGTGTCCAAAGCCAGGAAGCTGACTTTTGGGAATGTTTGTGTACTCACAGGTCTGCTTATGATCAGTTCTAATAGCAGAATCTGAAATAAAAGCAAAGGAAAAATGTTCCTTACATCTGAGGTCAGAGAAAGGTCAGAGACAACCAAGGGCTTGTGGGAATGCAAGCCCTGCAACGCACACCAAGTGGAAAGTATGGCGAGGAGATACAAGGGGGAATTACTACAGCTTAGTGCATTGGACAGTGATGACATGCTCATGTCTACAAGACAGGGTGCTAAGACCTTCACGTCCTAAGAGGGTTCACGCACAGTTTTACCCTACGGGCACTGAAGAGGGACTATCTTAGAATAAGCAAAGTAGACTGGACAGAACAAACCTGAGGACAGAATGTCATTCACGAATCATCAGAGGGCCAGGTGGTCATGGTGCACACCTTTGATCCCAGCACTCGGGAGGCAGAGGCAGGCGGAGCTCTGTGTTTGAGGCCAGCCTGGCCTATATAGAGCAAGTTCCAGGACAGCCAAGGCTACACAGAGAAACCCTGCCTCGAAAAAAAACCAAAAAAAAAAAAAAAATCATCAGAGCAGGTCAGAGGCCCCAAACACACTAGCTGGCAAGCAAGGACAAAGCGGAGGAGGGGGGTGACCAAAACATAGACAGGAGTGCTGAGACGGTGGCTGAAGACGCGGTGTCTTAGCAGGAAGAACCCAGATCAGAACGGGGTGCTCAGCCTCCCCATGGCTGTCCTCTAAGGCAGGCTTCTCTGGGAAGAGCTCAAACTGCAAGCCCACCTGGCAAGCCTTGCTACAGGTGTGGAGGCTGGCTTTTACTGTCACAGTGGCCCAATCTAGGGTTACCTGTGAAGAGGGAACTTCAACTGGAAACTGCCCCCCATCAGATTGGCCAGTGACGGGCTGGAGAGATGGCTCAGAGGTTAAGAGCACTGACTGCTCTTCCAGAGGTCTTGAGTTCAATTCCCAGCAACCACATGGTGGCTCAGATTGGCCGGTGGCCATCTGTGTGATTGTCTTGACTGATGATGTATCATGGAAAGACCTAGCTCACTGGGGCAGCGTCATTCTGAGGCGGTTATGTGCAGACTGCATATGAAAGCTAGCTGAGCACCGACCAGACTACAAGGCGCTGAGTAGGGCTCCTCCATTGTTTGTGCTTCAGTTTCTGCCCTGGCTTCCCAGTGATGGCTTATGACCTGGAAATGCAAACTCAAAGAAATCCTTGCCTTCTTAAGTCGTTTTGTAGTCACAATGTTTTCCCACGTGACACTCAAGGTTAGAGCACTAGGTCAGTGACTGGGTGACCATACCCAGTAGTCCACACCGATTTCTGCCTGGGGACAAGTATATGCAAGAGTCTGGGCACCCAGGACCACAAGGCCTTCATCATGTCTACTTTACTTCTAGAGTCTCCAAATCCACACGGGCTGCCTTCCTGTCCTGACCCCACAGGCCAGATTTCTGTACAACCATTAATTACCTGCCACATCGCAGCTGAATGGACAAGGGTTTTGTGCCCTTGGCTTCTGTGGCACAGCCGTCCCAGAAGTGGTCATACACCCTAGCTGTGGTTCCTTTTAGGATTGGTCCCTGCAGGGTTCTTTACTAGCCCAGTCTGGTCACAAGGACTCACCCCAGCTCCTTCTTATTCAGACCTTCTCTGTGCCAGGGCCGGGGCCTCACCTGTCTGGCAAATCCACGGTGCCTCCGTTCCCTCTGCTCCCTGTAGGTCAAGGACCCATGGCTCTTGTCCTTGCTCCAGCCGAGAGATCAGTTCAGGCTTAAAAACCAGGAACCCTGCTGTGTGTGAGGCAGAGAAGGACAGAGTGGAAATATGGCCAGGGGTCAGCCCTGTCCCTACTTTCCAGCCACGAAGAACAGGAGCTGCTAGATACACTCGGAACCTGTCCAGGAGGGTGATGGGGATGAGGACCAGAACCTGCCCAGGAGGGTTATGGGGAGGAGAACTAGAACCTGTCCAGGCAGGTGGATGGGGGTGAGGGCCTGGGTATGGAGCAGGCCCTTCTCTCTAACTCCTTACATTAGACAGGAAGGGGCACCCAGCTTTCCAGTCTTCAGGGAACACTGCCACCAAGGAATAGGCTGGATCTGCTTGTGGTACAAAATGAGTAGGGAAGCCTAAGCCCAGGTCAGCATCACATTCTGCAAATCACAGTCTTTTCTTCCCTCAGTTCAAAAGGGAAGGATACTCCAAGGGGTCAGGGTGGCCAAGAAACAAAAGTTTAAAATTAGTATGCAATTAAATGAATGAAGCAGATTCCAAATCACAAGGAGTGGTGCCAGACTCCCTTTACGGCCAGTTCACGAAAGCAGGGAAGATGTTGATCTAATCAGGAATCAGCTACAGGGGACTAGAGAGATGGCTTAACAGTCAAGAGCACCTGCTACACTTCCGGTGAGCATTCCCTAGCACACACATGGCAGCTCTCAACTGTCTGGATTCCAGTTCCAGCAGGTACACAGAATACATACAGGCAAAACTCCCATACTCATTAAAAGGTCGTCAGAGCTTCCTCGGGCTTCCCACCACATGGTAAGAGAGGCAGAGAAGTCTGTAAGATCCATGTCTACCCTGCAGCTCCCAAGGCACATGCAGACAAAAACAGCTACGAATGTGGCCCAACCACAAAATCATGAACTCATTTAAAATGTGAAGTGTCTTTTTGTTCTGTTTTGGTAATCCAATTGTAAGGTTCTTGAGCATGAACCTTGTAAAGGACATCATATCACAATACCAAAAAGTTAAACAAATGGTACAGCAATAGCTTCAAGCTTTAAGTAGAGGCAGGGCCCCACACATCAGAAAACAAACACACTTTTTTTAAAAAGAAGAGGGGCTGGAGAGATGGCTCAGTGGTTAACAGCACTGACTGCTCTTCTAAAGGTCCTGGGTTCAATTCCCAGCACCCACATGGCAGCTCACAACTCTTGACTCCAAGATCTGACACTTTCACATGGATACACATGCCGGCAAAACACCAGTTCACTGCAATTCCACTCACAGGCAAATTGCAACGGTAGGCACAGTTTTTGTTGTTGTTGTTGTTATTGTTTGTTTTTTGAGGAAAAGGCAGAAAATGTGGGTAAAGCTGTTTGGTTTGTCACTGAGAGACACAAAAGAAATGGCTGCTGTATCGTAGGCAAGACAGCTTAGGCACTGACCCCCACAGAAGGTAAAGCCCTAAAGAAGAAAGAAAACATCATTCTTGGCAGGCCAGAGCCCCATGGGGAGTAGACATGGATGATCCAGCAAGAGGAAATCCTGGCCAATGTACTGTCTGTGTTTTCCTCTCATATTGTCACATGTGATAAACTATGTGTGAGTCTGAGACAGCTCTTACAAAGCACCAAGTGGTAGCCTTTGTTCAAATTCTGGTAAGTACATTTAATAATGCCCTTTATAACATGTCAGCTTGATTTTGGTGAAATCTAACACAAGATAGACTAAGCATGCTGGGTGTTGGTGGCGCACGCCTTTAATCCCAGCACTCGGGAGGCAGAGGCAGGCGGATCTCTGTAAGTTCGAGACCAGCCTGGACTACCAAGCGAGTTCCAGGACAGCCTCTAAAAGCCACAGAGAAACCCTGTCTTGAAAAACAAAACAAAACAAAAAGATAGACTAAGCATCTAAATACAAGGTTTCTGGTTTTGTTTTTTTAAAGACAAAAGAGCTGCGGAAATACATGAAATCAGAACCTAACAAAGCAGTAAGCAAGGATGCCTGGGCTGGTGGAAGGGGTAGGTGGGGATGGGATGTAGTTGGTTTACTAGGAACTTCTCTGGGTATTAGACCAGGCCTATAACCGTTCATCCCATACAAGCTGGCTCAATCGAGTTTTCTGATGTCTTAGTTAAGTAGTGGGCATCAGGGCTAGAGTATGTACAGGTCAGTGGTTGAGCATTCTTGTCACACACAAAGCTCTGGGGTCAATTCCTGATACCACAGAGAGCAAAAGTAAAACAAAACAAAACAGGCTGGACATGATAGTGCATCCCTTTAACACAGAGACAGGCCGATCTCTGAGATGGAGGTCAGCCTGGTCTATAGAGCAAGTTCAGGATAGCCAGGGCTACACAAAAACCACCACCGCCCGGCCCCAGGCATCCTCTTAAGAACTCAGGAGGGATCCCAGCACTTGGGAGGCAGAGGCAGGTGGATCTCTGTGAGTTCGAGGCCAGCCTGGTCTACAAGAGCAAGTTCCAGGACAGCCTCCAAAGCCACAGAGAAACCCTGTCTCGAAAAACCAAAAAAAAAAAAAAAAAAAAAAAAAAAAAAAGAACTCAGGAGGGTTGGAGAGATGGCTGAGAGGTTAAGAGCACTGGCTGCTCTTCCAGAGGTCCTGAGTTCAATTCCCAGCAACCACATGGTAGCTCACAACTATCTGTAATGAGATCTGGTGCCCTCTTCTGGTCTGTAGGCATACATGCAGGCAGGCAGAACACTGTATACTTAATAAATATTTAGATAAATAAATACATCTTAAAAAAAAAAAAGAACCCAGGATACTCCACAATGTAGGTACCAACACAATGGGTTCAGTCCTGAAGAGTAAGAGGTGACATACACAGTAAGCAGGACATGCATTCTACCACAAAGTTGAAACGAACTAGAAAGCTGTATGTGTTAGAGCAGCCTGCAGGAAAGGTAGCAACAATGGAAGAAGTCTGGTGGCAGGGACAGAAGAAGGGACTCAAGGTGTCACTGACACTCAAGCATGGTTTCTATTCCTCACACGGTAATTTAGTAGCTTGGGGAAAACAGAGGTTTTGCTAGTTCCCTGGAGTCCACCTACCTCACAAAGACTAAGTTGGGAGACATGCTAAAGCCGGGAGCAAGCCTGACACTCAGATGAAAGGTCTGACCTCTAAGGCCCAGCAGTTAGCATCCACATCCGCTCCTTCTGCCGGAGTGAACGGATCCCCAGGCGCAGCCTCACCTAGTCCAGCCACACTGCTGTGGTTCTCCAGCATCACCTCCCTGTAGAGGGCCCTCTGGCCAGAGTCCAGACATTGCCACTCCTCCCGGGAGAAGTGCACAGCCACGTCGCCAAATGTCACCGCCTCCTGAAATCAGGACACACACTAGCACCCAGACGTCCTTAGGTGCCAGCTCTGGTCTGGCACGGTAATGCGTCTCCGGTAGGTGACCCATTGGATTAGAGTCACAGAGATCCTTTTAGCTCTTACAGCTTAGGTGAAAAGGAGGAACCTAGTCCACGGTAGTGACCTGACATTCCTCTCCACTGGACAGGCACAGGTGGGCTCTGGTCTGGGCAGGGGTTTACTCACTGTCTCCGGGTGTAAGCCTGGCAAGAGCCGCGGTGAGGGTCAAAGCTAGATGTGAGCTCAGACCAGGGGGGGGGGCAGATCCCCAAAATAGGAAGTGGAGGCTTGACAGGACATAGGGGGAAAAACAGACAGCCAGGCTTCCTACCATGACATTTGGAGGGTGGGATCCACTTGTCTTGATTCAGACACCTGTGAGAAATTGTGAAAAGGTCAGAGGTCAGGGTGGAGGAAGTTCCCAGTTCCCAGGGTAACCAGGGGTCTCTGTATGCCCTGCTTCTTTACCGCCATCGCCAGACACCAGACTGGGCGCACAGCCCCGACGTTTGAGTATCAGCCTTTGAGACCCTTGCCTGTGTGGGTTTGGGGAGTTGGGTCACTTCACAAACACATTAAGACTGGCTGCCAGGGCCACACATCACAATGGGCAACAGTGAATTTACATCAAGTTTGCCTTCACGAGACACCTAGAAGAAACAGATGACCACACACACACACACACACACACACACACACACACACACACACACGCGCACACACACACGCACCCACGCACACATGCGCGCGCGCACGCACCATAGTGCTGAAGTAAAGGGAACTAGGAAAGTGTTTAAATGAGAAACTCTGGTGAAGTCTAAGACGTATCCCCATGAGCCCGGGCTAAAGTGACGGTGGTAGGGAAAGCACTCGGGACCTCAGCACAAAGTGAGCCTGGTGAGCCCGTGTGCGAGGCAAAGAGAGCAAGCGACAGAGTTAGTTGGAGGCAGTAGAAGACGGACCAGGAGACCCCTGTTCTCAAGTGCTGAATTCCGGTGTAGGTTACAGCTGCCCTAAGGATTCGCTAAGTAACCCTCAGCTAAACAAAGCCCCCAGGCCCCTCCTCAGCCCCATCCCCACCCCGTCCCCGGGAGAGGTCGGGATGGGGAGAAGCTGGCTCTGGCTTTCTTGGTAGCTTTTGGCCCAGGTGTTAGGCCAGTGGCTACCCCAAGCAGCGGCGAACACCAGAAAACGGCTCCCCTCTCGGACCCCAGCATTTGGACAGTCAATAGGAAATTGTGGTCCCAGATGGAGGACAGACCCCGAGGTGCCACCTGAGTCCACAACCGTGACAACACTTTCAGCCTGTCACTGACTCTAGGCTTGCAAGGTGCAGAAACTGAGGGGAAAGATGGCTCCAGGAAGTGATTACTCAGGAAATACTAGGGAGGCAGCAGGAAGGTCCGGGCCTGGAGGAGCTCGGCTATTCGTCTGGCATCCGCTGGGACCAAGTCCCCCGCCAGGCACTCACAACAGCCCCGAGCCTTCCATCTCTTGTGGGGGAGAGGCGGGTGTCCCTTGCCCTGACGACAAGGAATGCAGTTACGACGACTCACCCAGCCTGAGCGCGTCTGGGACCCGCCAACTGACCGAACCGCCGGAAGCGGTTTTGCATGCCCATCCCTCCGCGTCCCACCCTGCAGACTTCCGCCGGCACAGATCCGCTCGCAGGCCAGAGCATCTCGATGGTTCTCCAGCCCCGCCCCTGCCCCTGTAACCTCGGGGGCGGGGCCAGGAGTTGGCCGGTAGAGAGCTGGGCTAGATTCTAGGGGCAGGTCCAGGAGTGTGGAGGGAGCCGGGAGGAAAGGATGAAGATCTCGGAAGCCAGGGTGCGAGCAGGAGGCGGGGCCGAAGCGGAGGCGGGGCCAGGTCGGGAGCCTGGAGCGGAGGCGGGGCCAGCAGTGGAACCCTTTCCGCGCTGGCAGTGGGTTGGCTTTGGATGTTGAGCCGAGCTTCATGGGTGAAAATCATACCTGCTAGCTGGAAAAGCTGACCTCTGGGGAAGGTCACTAATCACCTGCTTAGGGTTCTGGTATTTCAGGCTGACCCTGTCAGGGCGTAGCCCAGTTAGCTTTTCCTTAAGACTTTACCCTCCCGAGGTGGGGCGCACTGGCCTGGGGCTCTAGGGGGCGGCACAGGTGGGGGAGGCAGGGGGCTGGACGGGGGTTCACTGCAGCTGTACTAGGATCCGAGAGGCTGTGGAGGGGTGAACCTCAGTGTTTTTCTCTTGCCTAGAACTCTATTCTAGAGATCAGGGGCGTTTGACACTGCTCCAAACCCTCCTCAGCTTCTGGCAAAAAAAAAAAAAAAAAAGAAGCCGCTCTGGGTGTCTGGAGTTCCCAGACCAAAGATTTTAGACGCAGAGACTCTCAGAGCACAGGTCACAAACAGGATCTGAAGATACACACAAATGCCAAGACGAAATGTGAGAAAGTAAGGTAAAGTCTTACTTCAAAAATACATCTTCAACAGTGACACAGAGTGTGACGAAGCCGGACCATCCACTGGAGATGTTAACTCTCTAAGCCTTCTTTGGAGTCAAGGACCCCAGACATCGGATGGCCTTTGTAATACCCTTCCTTAGTCTATTTTTCTTCTATGTCTCTGCTCCTGCCCTTGACGGAATTTCAGAATATAAACCAGGCTAGCCTTAAATTCACTATGTAGTCCAAACTGGATTTAGCTTGCAATCCTCCTGCCTCTGCCCCCAATGCTAGAATCACAGGGGTGCAGCACCATGCCAGTGCCTTCCTCAGAACGCTTCTGATGAGAAAGACCCTGCCCAGCTTGCAGTCTCATTGTCCTTACCCAGAATCCCTGTGGGTCCCTGTACCCTAAAGATAGTTTTGAGGAGAAAGCACCTCTTAACTTCTCAGGAATGCCGGCTCCTGGGTATATCTGATTCCTTTTGCCAACTCTCCTTGCCCAAACATTATTCTTCAACCGTAGGAGAGCCTGGACCTTTAGCGTCTAGTACCAAGGAGAAACTAGCAAAGGGGATTGAGAGCTTGGCAAAAGTAAGTGAAGGATGGCATTATTGGTGACAAATAAGTGTTTCAAGGAGGAGATCCTATCGTGTCAGTACTATTAAGGGTGTACGATGAAAGGAAAACAACACTGAGGGAGCTCTTGCTTTTTGTTTGTTTTTGTTTTTCCAGACAGAGTTTCTCTGTGTGTAGCTCTGACTGTCCTGGAACTTTTTCTGTAGACCAGGCTGGACGAGAACGCACAGACATCTGCCCGCCTCTGCCTCCTCCCAAGTGGTGATATTAAAGGTGTGTGCCACCACTGCCTGGCTCTGAGGGATCTTTTTTAACAAATTGGAGGCTATTAGGAAAGGGGGGAGGGAGATGGAGAAAGATACTGCACGTGCACACTCATAAGTGTCCCTATGATCCCAACTTTGGTCACCTCCTAACTGAAGGCTTTTGGAACCACCTGATCTTTATACAAAGACACAAGACTTCTGTTTCATTGACGTTTTATTATGTGTCTACATTCTATTTTTATGCTAATGTCATCTGTAAGAGTGAATGCTATGGAGGCCAGAAGAGAGTGTAGGAACCCCTGGATCTGGACTTACAGATGGTTCTGAGTCTCATGACTGGGGTGCCAGGGGTGGAACTCTGGTGAATGAACAGCAAGCACTCTTTTTTTTTTTTTTTTTTGAGGCAGGGTTTCTCTGTGGCTTTGGAGGCTGTCCTGGAACTAGCTCTTGTAGACCAGGCTGGCCTCGAACTCACAGAGATCCGCCTGCCTCTGCCTCCTGAGTGCTGGGATTAAAGGCATGCACCACCAACACCCAGATCCATTGTTTTTATAACTATAATCTCAATTCAACTGCTGCTTCACCAAATGCCACACACACACACACACACACACACACACACACTTGGTAAGATAAAATAAGTACTTAAAATTTGGTCAGAATTAGGGAGACAGACAGAGTTTCTGTGTATAGCCCTGGCTGTCATGGAACTTGCTCTGTAGACCAGGCTGGCCTGGAACTCAGAGATCTGCCAGCCTCTGCTTCCTGAGTGCTGGGGTTAAAGGTGTGCACCACCACTACCCGGCGAAATCTTTTTTAAAAATATTTTATTTATTTATTTATTGTGCATACAGTATCCTGCCTGCAGGCCAATAGAGGGCACCAGATCTCATTATAGATGGTTGTGAGTCACCTTGTGGTTGCTGGGAATTGAACTCAGGACCTCTGGAAGAGCAGCCAGTGTTCTTAACCTCTCAGCCATCTCTCCAGCCCGCTTGAATTACTTTTTTTTTTTTTTTTTTGGTTTTTCGAGACAGGGTTTCTCTGTGGCTTTGGAGGCTGTTCTGGAACTCACCCTGTAGACCAGGCTGGCCTCAAACTCACAGAGATCCGCCTGCCTCTGCCTCCCGAGTGCTGGGATTAAAGGCGTGTGCCACCAACGCCCGGCTTGAATTACTTTTGACAGGTGTGATACAAATGACTTTGTGTGTTGGAATTTTGAGGGGTAGGGGTTGAGATGGTATCACTCTAGCTGGACTGGAACTCACTATGCAGCCCAGGCTGGCTGTGAACTTGTAGCGTCCTTTTGCTATACAACTGAGGTTATAGGCATGAGCTACTGTGTCTAGTTTTCATGATAAGAATCGGGTGAGTGCGATGGGGAAAGTACTTAACACAAAAGCCTAGGGCCTTGGTTTGATCCCTGGAATCTACAGAGTGCAAGGAGAGGACTGGCTCCTACAGCTGTCCTCACGCCTCTCCACGCATGCACCGTGGCGCACACAAACTCACACTCACAATCACACATGCACGCACGCACACCAGTCAATCACTCATTGCACCAATGCACTCACACACACGCACACCAGTCAATCACTCATTGTGCACACACACACACACACACACACCAGTCAATGACTCATTGTGCCAGTGATATGGCTTGGTAAGGTGTTTGTTGTCAAGCCTGAGCGTCTGAGTTTGGTCCTCAATTGTCCTCTGGCCTCGGTACACAAACTGTGGCGAGAGGTGTGGTGCGTGCTCATCCCCCACCGATAAATTAAAAAATTAATGTCATTTAAAAATTAAAGATAGAAAAAAGTTAAGGATAGGGCTGTTATTTGCAGCAGAAAATATTTCAGGATGTGTAACATGAAGCAGGTTGGAGTGTATTAAGGAGAGATTTCAGGCTGGGCGGCGGTGACAGTTCCTCCCTTGGTGCCAGGGTTTCAGCAGGCTATTCTCAGCCCTAGCACAGAAATGTCTAGATAAATTTTAATTCTTTAGTATCCCTGGTATAGTTTTAGAAACCAGGAGCTCGGGCTGGAGAGATGGCTCAGTGGTTAAGAGCACTGACTGTTCTTCCAGAGGTCCTGAGTTCAATTCCCAGCAACCACATGGTGGCTCACAACCACCTTGAATGAGATCTGGTGCCCTCTACTGGCATGCTGAAGATTGTATACATAATAAATAAATAAAAGAAAAAAAAAAAAAAGAAACCAGGCGGTCACTGTGTCAGAAACAGCTCTGTCATGCTACCTTGACTTTTCCACAGGACAAGGATTAAGCATGGCCTGTTTTGAGTTTTGAGGGGATAGCCTGTGCCTCCCTCAGGAGGCAAACATCAGTGGCAGCAGGGCCGTTTCCAGGGGACTCTGGGACTTTGCAGCTCTCCCTGGCGGTGCCAAGCTGTAGGCTACAATGCTCCTCCCCACAACACTTTCTGTGCTGGTTCCTCAGCAGCAAGAGCAACAAATGATCAAAACTACTTCCTGCCATACTGTGGGGCCTAGGAACAGAGTGGCTTGCAGATCCTGCCAACCTTGCTTAGCTGTCTGCAGAAGAAAGTCTGTGCCCTCTGCACTCATGATGGATCAGATCGTTGGAAATGCAGCACAGCAACCTGAGGATCTGTGGTAGTGACGCTGTGAACTTGAACCAGCAGCAACTGCATTGCGGCATTACTGGCTGCTAGGTAGTTAGTAACCCTATCTATAGGCAGCGGTACATCAGTCAGGAGGAATGCCTGTAGCTACTAACACAGGCATTTGTAAGGAAGAGCAAAAAAGTCACACATGCTTCCCACTGGAATGATACATTTTTTAGTATTAATTCAGACACTCTTCATGTGTTTATACTGAATTTCAGGTTAACTAAGCACAATGGGTTCCGACTTAAATGAGTGCAAGACCAAAACAACTATAGCCAAGACACACACATGGTAGTGCTTGCCTTTAATTCTAGCACATGGGACGCAGGATAGGTGGATCTCTGTGAGCCTGAGACCAGGTTGGTTTACATAGTAAATTGATTAATTAATATGGGGGACAGGAACACTTCTGGGCATGTTTGGTTTGCATAAATTCTTTTTTTTTATTTTTTGGTTTTTCGAGACAGGGTTTCTCTGTGGCTTTGGAGGCTGTCCTGGAACTTGCTTGGTAGTCCAGGCTGGTCTCGAACTCACAGAGATCCGCCTGCCTCTGCCTCCCGAGTGCTGGGATTAAAGGCGTGTGCCACCAACGCCCGGCTTGCATAAATTCTTTTTTTCTTTCCTTTTTTATTTATAGGGGAGAGCTCAAATGCAGTCCCCCGCTACCACTAATTATGCAGTCAAGTTTGCTGCATTTAGAGAAATCACATGGTCAGAACATCAGGAGTGCAATGGATAAGCCCTGGGAAAATACCTTTGTGATCATAGTTTTACCCTTCCTGGAGTATATAAGTTTTTTCTTTAAAAAATTTTTTTCGGGCTGGCGAGATGGCTCAGAGGTTAAGAGCACTGACTGCTCTTCCAGAGGTCCTGAGTTCAATTCCCAGCAACCACATGGTGGCTCACAACCATCCATAAAGATAGCTGGTGCCCTCTTCTGATGTGTAGATGTACATGGAGGCAGGATGTTGTATTCATAATAAATAAAATCTTTAAAAAAATTTTTTTTCGTTTTGCTTCCATGTATGCCAGGCACCGTGAGCACTGAGTATTTTGCTCCATTTACTTCATGTGCATGCAGTACCCACAGAGGCCAGAAGAGGGCAGTAGATATCAGCTACCATGTGGGTCCTGGGACTTGAACCCTAGTCTTCTGGAAGTTAGTAAGTACTCTCAACTGTTGAGCCATCTTTTTAGTTCCAGTTTACATAAGTTCTACCAAAAAAACCAACCAAACAAAAAACAAAACAAAAAAGGGAAAAGGAAGGACATTTTGAAGTTGTATCAGTATTGTAGTTTTTCCCTGCCATGCTTAGCAATGAACACAGGCACTACTATAAGGCTGGTGGCTCAGCAGTGAGACACTGTCACCAGCCTGAGCCCCAAATCTATCCATTTCTGTTTATTTCCAGATACCGCTTGCTAGAAGTAGGTAAAAATGTTGTTCTTTGCTGCAGCTTCGGGCGATGAAACAGGACCCACCAAACTCAACAAACCCACATGGAGTTTATTGGGAAAAGGAGCGCAGGGAGGGGTAGGTGTTAACCGATCGGGAGCAGAAATGGAAAGAGAGAACGGGCAGGAGGCACTTGCTTAAAAGGGAAAGGAAGCGGTTTAGAACGAGGCTCAGCAGCTGGAGCCATTGAGACTGGAGTCACGGAACTGCTGTTGGCCCAGCTCCGCATGGTTTCTGCATGCAGAGTCCTTATGCAGCCACTTAACGCATGCCCGGGGACGTAGCCATGCAACCTTTGACAGCCTTTGAGCTGTTAGCATAAGGTCAGGTTATCAACACGGAGCATGGCAAGGAAGACAGATCCCAGGGCGAGGGAAAGCCGCCCAGAGAAGAGCGATCCCGGGGAGAAAGCACAAGGATTAGAGAGGCCTCTCAACCAGGAAAGGTTCCCTAAGGAGAAAGCACAGGTCCAGGAGAGGGATGGTGTGTGACAGGCCGGTGCTGAGGAGAAACCACCAGGGCAGAAGGAGGGGAGTCGGGAGCAGGCACAGGGCCAGGTTGCCCAGGACCTGGGGAGAGGGAGAAGCCAGGATATCAACAAAAAGTCTTTATCAGTAACCACATGATCACACGCTTTCAACTGCCAAGCGCTAAGTTATCGCATATTCCCAAATGCGCAGGGGTGTTGATCGGACAGGTTTCATCTAGTCTGGAGGCCATTTTGACAGTTGGAAGATAACGTTGGGGTCATTGTCATTATAATCGTGAAAACCACCCACTGGGCCACTGAGAGATCTAACCAAAATAGGAAAAAATAAAGGTGGTACCCTGATCCCTGAACATATCTCTTCACAAGGAACCATGATATGGCGGGCATGGTGGCTATAAGGCAGGAATGTATAGCCCACACCAATCTGGGCTATCCACTAAAACTGTCTCAAAACAAAACTCTCAAAATTTCAGTGACAGCATTCATACCACAATCCACATAGCCCAGTCCTAGTAGAACCCCAGGCTAGCACAATCGTGTGATCCTAGCACTGGGCAAGGGGCTCAAACAGGAAGACCCGCACACGTGAATTCTAGGAAACCATGGGTAGAAAGTGAGAACCTGGCTGGGGAATCTTTCTGGAATTAACACTCTGACACCAGTGAGACTGGAAGAGAGATGTCACCGTTGACCAAAGCAGGGCAGCTTCTGAAAGGCTTCCATCCTGGGAGTAGTTTGTACACTTACTTTATACTCTAAAAACCCAAGCAACGACCCATTATTTCAGCTGATTCTCCAGGTCGTTCTGTGTCAGGTAGCAAGTGATGTCATGTTTGGCAAATACAGAGAGTGCTTTAAGAACACCACTGAGTAGATTCACAAACCAGTGTCTAACAATTGCTCTTTTCCACTTCACCACTATACAAAAGATTCAGGCCTCAGATCTGCCCTGGGAGAAGAGGATATGCTCCAACTCTGTTCATGACTGTTGAATAAAACCTCAGCAACTGTTTGGTTACTTGCCAGCAGCACTACTGAGTAAGAAAAGAACCTGAAAATTCAGAAGCAGAATCAAAGGAAGCTTTGTGGTCAGGAGGCCATTCAGAAGACCCAGGCAGGAGAATTGTGCAAATTCAGCCATTAACCCAGGCTACATAGTGTCCATTTGAAAAGCATATGCTTTGTTTCTATTTGTCTTAAATGCCTACAGGTACAATTGAGATTACATCATGACTGATTTTTTTCCCCAACAATTTCTACATTAAACAAAACAAAATATTACACTGTGGCAATAAATTTGAGGGTTGGAGAGATGGCTCAGCAGTTAAGAATACTTGCTATCTAATTTCTACAGGCTCCAGTTTGTATGCATGTGAAAATTATTTTGGACAAAGGTAGTCCTTGGTTTTAAACAATCTTTCTTTGTCCCTGCCGTCTCTGCCTCCTTTCTTTCACCAAGTTTTGTTCTCTGTCTCTTCTTAAAGGCTCTCTATACAGCCCTGACTGTCGTGGACCTCACTCTGTAGATCAAACTGGTCTCTAGCTCAGAGATCCTCCTGCCTCGGCCTCTCAAGTGCGGGGATTAAGTTTGGCTGATTTGGCTTTTTGTTTTGTTTTTCGAGACAGGGTTTCTCTGTATTGTTTTGGAGGCTGTCCTGGAACTCACTCTGTAGACCAGGCTGGCCTCAAACTCAGAGAGATCCACCTGCCTCTGCCTCCCAAGAGCTGGGCTTAAAGGCGTGTGCCACCAACGCCAGGCTAATTTGGCTTTAAAGTTTTTTTTTTAATGTATTTTATGTGCATTGGTGTGAAGGTATCAGATCCCCTGGAACTGGAGCTACACAGTTGTGAGCCGCCTTGAGGGTGCTGGGAATTGAACTTGGGTCCTCTGGAAGAGTAACCTGATTTAGCTTTTTTGAGACAGGGTCTTGGCAACATATTTCAAACTGGCCCGGAATCCGTAATCCTCTTGCCTCGGTTTCCCAAGCACTGGGATTACAGGCCTGCCACAGACACCCAGCCCAGGTGTTAGTCATTTAACCCGTGCTTTACTTGCGATTTAGCTTATGACAAAGAGGAAAAGGCGGCGCGGCACAGATCATGTCTGGTTGAGGCCAGAGAGCGGCGCCGGTTAGCCCTGGCGGGAGGGCGGTGAGCGCCCCCGGCCCCGCCCAGCCCGTGCGTAGGGGCGCCGTTCTCTGAGACCCTAAAGAAGCTCCGGAAGTGCGCGGCCACCGTCGCCGCGCGCGCGTGCGCAGCTTGGCCGTTCCGCCCCCAATCGGCAGTCGGCTCGCCCCCTCCGCGCGGGCCCAGCCTGATGTAGGTGGGCGGCTGGGCCAGAGGGCCCCGGCCGAGGCGAGGCTCCCACGGTCCTGTCGCGTGGCAGGTGGGCACGGACAGCCGGCAGGCAGGCGCGAGGGCGTCGAGTCGTGGAAAGACCGCCCGCGCCGAGCCAAGGGACGTGGCGGGTCCCGGGCTGGCCGCCTCAGCTTCTGGCCAAGGGCGCCGATGATGCTGCGACACCTGGGAGGAGGGCTAGTGGAGGAGGCAGCGGCCGCGGCCGGACGGGCACCCAGCAGCGGGAGGACCGGGGGGAGGGACAAGCCGCTGGAGGCCACGCGGCGTTGGGAGGCGTGGAGGTGACGGACGATGGCCTTTAGGTTTGTCTAGAGCTGACCCTCGCCGCCTGTTTTGTGTCCTGTCACACCCACAACCCTGTGAGGCGTGCGGCTGTGGGGCCCCGCGCCTTTTCCAGGCTGGCCCTCTAAGGCTGGTGCATGGCTGGCACCGTGCTTGGGGCAGTTCTCAGTTTGGATAGCAGCACGGGACAGGTCACACGCTGGTTCTCACGGCTTCAGGACACCCCAGAAGGCCACCTCAGAAGCAAGGTCTGTCGTCTTCCTCTGCCCCAGCTGAATGGGGCTGAGCTTGTCTGTTTTGTCTCCCCGAGAGTGAGTTGGGGAGGCTTCAGGCCAGGGCTGCCTCCTGTCTACCACGGATTCCAAGGTGGTTCACGGCCCAGATGGCTGCCAAGTCCTGCTCCGGGTCTCCGGTGAGTTATTCTCTCTCCCTCCTGCCCTGGTCACAAGCTGTCTCTCTAGATCTGTGAGGTGAGCGGATTGCAATGTTGGACGGGACCAGAACCTCTTATAGGGATATATGTTGGATTGGTCCTTGTCTGGTCCGCTGGTCTCAGCCCTGCTATCCCATCAGAAATCAAGAAGCCACACACCTGGTGCACTCTGAGCATATTGTCATTCCAGGGCGAGATGCCTCTGACCTTCCAGGATGTGGCTGTGTACTTCTCCAGGGCAGAAGGGCAGCAGCTGGGCCCCCAGGAGCGGGCGCTGTACCGGGATGTGATGTTGGAGAACTATGGGAACGTGGCCTCACTGGGTGAGAACTGCCCTGGAGTCCTGGCTCACAGTGGGGCGTCGCTAAGGGACTTTGGGGTCCATTTGGCTCTTTGATTCCCAAAGAAAAGAGGATCCTCTCTTGTCCGCAGGTTCCAGTCTGCCTGGTTCTAGGCACTCTGTTCCTCACCGTCATCCCTTTCCCCACCTTAGGCATTTGAACTCTCTCGCCCCTTGGCCTCCCCTGACAGTGTTCCCATGCAGGCAGAACGCTCCCTGTCTGGTGTGGAGGACCCAGCAGGCAGGGTCCATTCCCCCCAGGCTGTCCCAGCTCACCCAGGGTCCTCACCCTTAACAGGATTTCCAGTCCCTAAGCCAGAGCTGATCTCCCAGCTGGAGCAAGAGGAGGAGCTGTGGGTCCTGGATCTTCTGGGGGCTGAAGAACCAGACGTCTTAAGAAGTTGCCAGACAGGTGAGCATAAGTCAGAGGCTGGTCTCAGGAATGGCCTCCCATTCCTGCCTTTGGTAGCTGAAGTAAGAGAAGGCAGATACGGTGACTGTGTACAGTGCAGCCCTCTCTAAGGAAGACATAGCTCCAGGATGCTCGTCCTTGAAAACTTTCCCTTTGCTGGTCCATTTACTTTACCTTAAAACAAAAACAAGAACAAAACCAACCCCACCCTCCTTTCCCCTTGCCTCAGCCTTCTCAAGTAGCCGAGGATGGCCTTGAATCCCTGATCCTCCTGCCTCTGCCTCTCAAGTGCTGGGGCTGAAGGCCCGTGGAACCACACCTGCCCTTTGAGTGCTTTCTCCGTTTTAGCGGTTCTGCTTTATCACAAAGCCTTTCTTTACTAAGATTGGGAGCTTAGATCACTGATTTGTATAGCACAAATAATAAAAACCCAGAGACAGATACTGGGGTTGAAGCTGAGGATCAGAGAAGCCAAGCAGTCTGCCTCTAGCTTCCTCCACCTCAGGCTGAAAGAGCTGTCCGGTCCTCAGCGTGACTGGAGCATTAATCTAGGGATTAAAAGGCATGTGATCCCAAGTGTTGAGGTCTCCTTTGTGTGAGCTGTTTCTCTTTAGACTGATTCACTCTAATGTAACCCTGAGTGGCCTTGAACTCACAGAGATCCATCTGTCTTTGTCTCCTGAGTCCTGGGATTAAAGGTGTGTGCCACCACTGCCCAGCTTCTGTAGCTAACCAGTGTGGCTGGTGGAATTAAATGTGTATATCATCATTGCCTGGTTCTATGGCTGTGGTTAGCTTTGCATTTTGATCTCCAGTTGTTTTATTAGGTCATAAACAATGTCACCACAGATTTGTAATTTTTCTTTTTAAAGATGTCTACAGGAGGCCAGGCATTGGTGGCACACGCCTTTAATCCCAGCACTTGGGAGGCAGACACAGGTGGATCTCTGTGAGTTTGAGGCCAGCCTGGTCTACTGATTAAGTTCCAGGGCAAGCTCCAAAACAATGTAGAGAAACCCTGTCTCGAAAAACCAAAAAAAGAAAAAAAAAAGATGTCTATGGGAAGTCTTTATGAAAATACAGGCTTAGATATAGTTCACATTTTTACAAACACTACTGTTAAGTATGTGTGTATGCCTGTGTTGTGGTGTGCATACTTTAGTTCAGGTGACTGCAGAGGTCAGAGGCATCAGAGCTCCAGGAGTTACAGGCATTGTAAACCCAGTGAGGATACTGGGTACCAAAAATCAGGTCCTCTGAAGATGAGTAAGTGCTCTTGACTACCGATACATCTCTCTAACCTGCCGTGTGTGTGTGTGTGTGTGTGTGTGTGTGTGTGTGTGTGTGTGTGTGTTTGTTTTTTTGAGGCAGGGTTTCTATGGCTTTTGGAGGATGTCCTAGAACTAGCTCTTGTAGACCAGGCTGGTCTGGAACTCACAGAGATCTGCCTGCCTCTGCCTTCCTAGTGCTGGGATTAGAATTGTTCAATACCACCACCCGACTTGAAATACGTTTCTTGTTCCTACTTTCCTGACACTCTACCTTAACCACACAGCACACTAGAGTTTAGTTACTTATTTGTGTTACCTTAGGGTTGCCTGGGAGCTGTGACATGCTGTCACTGCCTGGGATTACAAGAGATGGTCACACTGCATACTGATAGCCTAGACATATCAAAATCCAAACTGTGAAATAGGTGTCTACTGAATACATAGCACTTTTGTACCATTGTAAAGTTTAAAAAAAATCAACAAGTGTGACAGTGCACACCTATTGATCCCAGCCCATGGAGGGCAGAGGCAGGGAGACTAAGTTCCAGGCTGTCCTGGGCTATATGGCATGACCCTGTTTCAAAGCAAACAGAAAAGTTAAAAATTTCTCCAGCAAAATCACGGTAAATTGCTGTAGTTGGGCCCTGAAATGTTGTCCAAAGGTCTGTGTTGAAAGTTGAACTAGAGCAACACGAGAGATAGTGGGAACTATAGAACTGGGGTCTGAGGGAGGTCAGCAGGGGCTACTATCGAAGGAGGCATCGAGTCTCTGGATTCTGCAGGCTCAAAGTGGCAGGGCGATGTGACTGGGCAGACATCTCTAAAACTGAATAAAAAATAACCCTCTCCTCTTGTCATAGTAACAGAAAGCTGATTAACACAGTTGGGAATCATCTGTATATAGTTTATGTAAAAAGAGAAAAATTGTTACAGGGCTTTCTCTAGTATACAGACATGGTAGTGTACACCTGTAATTCTGGCACTTGGAAAATAGAGGTAGAAGGACCAGAAATTTAAGATTAATCTTGGCTATATAAGTGAATTTGAGGCCAGCTTGGTCTACATGAGACCCTGTCTCAAATAAAAAGCTCAACCACACTGAAAAGTCAACAACATTGCTCTCAGAGAACTGAGGTCAAAACCAGCTGTGTAAAGTAGGTGTAACATGAATAAGTAAAAGACCCAGAGGCTGATATTGGGGTTCAAACCTCAAGTTGAAGGTCAGAAAAGCAAAGCAGCTGGGCACTAGCTTCTTCCTAGGTAAACCTCAGGATGAATGGGCTGATCCTGTCTCCAGGAACTCTCACCAAGCCTTAGACTGTAACCTCTCTTCAGTGTGGCTGCAGACTGAGTACCTCTGTCTTCAGTGTGGCTGGAGAATGAATGCCTCCTGTCTTTTTTATACCCCCTAGTGCTGGGATTAAAGGTATGAGCTATAACTCTCTTTTAGATAGGGTCAATCTCATGTAGATCTGGGTGGCCTTGGACTCATAGAGATCTACCTCCTAATCCTAAATGCTAGGATAAAAGGCATGTACCACCACCTCCTAGCTTCTGGGTACTGGGATTAAAGTTGTATGCCTGGCTTCTATGGTTTGTGGCTGACTTTGCTTTCTGTATCCTCAGGCAAGCTGTAATAAATCATAAATAACACATTACTACAAGTAGGGAATATCACCTATAACTGACAATTTCTGGAGGCTCAGTGGGAAGAAATCTGAGTTGAAAACTCCATGGCATGACCAGCAAGAGTCCTCAGTGAGTAAAGGCACTTGCCACTAAGCCTGACGGACGACCTGAGGTTAACCACGCAAACCCTCTTATATGGTGGAAGGAGAGAACCAGCTCCCAGAAGTTATCTGACCTCCATAGTACACTAATGTACCCAAACACACATAATAATACAAACGTTTTTGTTTGTTTGATTTTTGTTTTTCAAGACAGTTTCTCTGTAACAACCCTGGCTGTCCCGGAACTTACTTTGTAGACCAGCCTGGCCTTGAACTCACAGAGATCCACTTGGCCTTTGCCTCTCAACTGCTGGGATTAAAAGCATGTACCCCCACTGCCCAGCAAATACAAACATTTAAGGAGGAAAAAAATCCCATCAAAAAACAAAACCCAAGGAGACACTGGGGAAGAGGGGACATTTTTCTGAGTTTCACCTCCAGGAGCTTTAGCAGGACCTCAGTAAAAACACTAAAGAAAAGGAAACTTTCAGTATGCTGGAGTATCCTGACCTAACACAGCTGCCATTCAAGGAAACAATTCCCCATTGCCTGACTGATCTAAGGAGAGAATTCCAGTGCCCTCGACCTAGTCGTGTGGAGCCATCAGCTCACAGGGTGGGGTTCCTGTGCTGTGGCTCTCCCCGCCCCCACCCTGGCACATTGCTGAGACCTGCGCACGGCTCTTTTACCAGCACCTCTGATGCCGTGCAACAGAAAGGCAAGAAAGTATTCTCCCTTCTTTTTTTTTAAGTCACACTATCTTTTTCTTTTAAAGATGTTATCTATTATATATACAGTGTTCTGTTTGTATGCTTGCACACCAGAAGAGGGCACCAAATCTTATTTGGTTGCTGGGACTTGAACTCAGAACCTCTGGAAGAGCAGTCAGTGCTCTTACCCTCTGAGCCATCTCTCCAGCCCTTCTTCCTTCCTTTGAGACACTGCCTCCCAAGTGCTAGGATTAAAGGCATGCGCCACCAATGCCCGGCAACACCTGCCACTTTTTAGCACTGACACATCCTTGTTAATATATCAGACAAGAAAGTTAATTACATTCACAGAATGAAACTTTGTTTGCATGTGATGTGATTACAGTCTGAACAAAATGTCTCCTGTAACTAGTAAGAACAAAGTCCCATGACAGTGTATGTGAGTCAGCTGCTCTCTTTGCACCTGAAATGAACAAGTGTGGAGGAGTTTTGGTTTTATTGACCGTTGCTGTTGTTTCTTGTTTGGAGGGGAGGTTGAGACAGTCTCATTGTGTAGCCTTAGCTGACCTGGACGTCCAGTGTAGACCAGGCTGCCCTCAAATTCACAGAGTTCCCTTGCCTCTGCTTCCTGAGTGCTGTAATCAAAAGTGTGTATCCACATGCCAACCAAGTGCAGTTTAAGTTAAAACAGCATAAAGGCGCTCAAGATGGTTCAGCAGGTAAAGAGCTTTGCTGGCAATCCTGAAAACCTGAGTGTACTTCCCAGGACCTCTGTAGTAGAATTAGAGAACCGAGTCTTGAAAGCATGTCCCCACCTACCCACCTTCCTTTCTTCCCTCCCTCCCTCCTCCCCCTCCTCTTTCCCCCTCCCTCTCCCCTCTCTCCCTCCTCACTATGTAGTTCTGGCTGTCCTGAAACTCACTGGATCAGACTGGCTTCAAATTCACAGAAACCTTTCCTGCCTCTCAAGTGCTAGGATTAAAGGCATGCAACACTATGCCTGACCCCCATCTTTTAAAAAAGAAAAATTGTTAATATAAGCACTCCAAAGGTGAAATTCATAGTACATTCAAAATGCACTTACCTACTACATTCAAAATCTGAGTGGAAAACTACCAAACCCTGCTAAAAACATACCAGAAGAGGAAATAGCGAAGAAACATGCCATGTTTATGGATAGAAGAAAATTGTCAAGACGTTAACTCTTTCCAACTTTCTCTATAGATTCCATAGAGTCCAAATAAAAGTGTCAGCAGGTTATGTTATTTGGTTGCTATCAACAAACATTT